CCAGCCATGTTTACAAGCCCAGGCTGAGAAACCTACTCTGAATCTTCCGGGTTGTGAAGCCTCAGATTAAGTGTGTGATATGTAAAGACCTTTGCTCTTTATACCACTCTCTTAATAACTGTAACTAATACCATAATTATACCTGGTCTCTTTTTTCAAAACCTAGCAATGTGCTTGCAATATCTCATTTTTATATATATGCAGGTATATGTATGTATATAGCTAATTATATTGGCCTTTCAGTACTCTCCTGTTTTTAGGGTTTACAAGCATCCTCTTTGCTGCATTAAGAGTAGATCTATTTTTGTACCTTCTTCCTTTATAAGACCCAGTACTCTTCATTCTACATGTGTATTAGATTAGTTCTTTCTATGTTTAGAGAACTGGCCACACCTGGAACACTGTGTTCAGTTTTGGTTCCTGCTTACAAAAAAAGATGAGGACAGGCTGGAAAGGGTCCAGAGAAGGGCCTCAAAGATGATCAGAGAACTGGGAAGCTGCCACAGAAGGAAAGGCTGAGAGAATTGGGTTGGTTCAGCCTTGAGAAAAGAAGGCTTAGGGGAGACCTTATTACAATGTTCCAATATTTAGAGGGTGACTACAAAGTGGATGGAGACTCTCCCTTACAAGGAATCCCATGGAAAAGAGGAGGGGTAATGGGTACAGGTTGCTCTTGTGGACATTCCCATTGCTCACAAGAGGAGTATTTTTCACAATGAGAACAGTCAGCCATTGGAATAATCTCCCCAGGGAAGTGGTGGATTCCCCAACATTGGACACTTCCAAGGTTTGACTGGACAGGCTGCTGGGCCATTTTTTCTAGACCGTGCTTTTGCCAAGGAAGGTTGGAGTGGTGATCCTTGAGGTGCTTCCCAACCTGCTATTCTGTGGTTCTGTGACTGTATTCTGCAATCAAGGCTTCTCTCACTTTGGATAACATAAAGTGTATTTCTCTCACATGAATGTCTCCTGCAGCTTTTTCACAGATATGGGAAAGATAAGCTATCTTTCCATATCCTATGCTAGTGCAAACAATAATAATAATAATAAAAAAATTATAAAGTCACTGAAGTCTAACGATTATTAATTTTGTCATAAAGATTAAAAGCATTATCACAGTAAGATAAAAAGTTAATCTCCAGTAAGTTTAGTCTCCACTGCTGTTTTATTACAGACCACTAGTGAAACAAATACAATCATTTTTGCTTTCCCATTGTTAAAGAAGTGATCTATTTGGCCACTAATCATCTTTATATTTGGAGGTCAAGAATAATTTTGGCATAAGTAAAAAGATCTTTCGAGCTCAGTTAGGGAGGGGAAACCAAAACATAAACCAAACAAACTTGGGCAGTTTTATCTTCTTGAAAATACATCAGAAACCTTTCTCTCTGTGTTCATATTGAGCTAACATTCTGTTTCACTGCTCAAATCTTTATTATATGCAAATATTTCAACTAATTTTTAATTAGCATTTCCTCTTCTATCCTTACTGACCAAAGGGAATATGTGATGCATATTCTTGTTTTAAAGTTCTTTTTGTGTGTCTTATACTTTATAATGCATTATTTTCTTTCTGAGACTGGATAGAACTCCTAGTTCAATCTGGCAAGAGATTAAAAGACACTAATAGTGCTTGAAAGCTGTTCTGTTCTCATCACATCGACTTAAAGAATCATGGATAACTAACACAGGAATGCTACAAGTTAAGCCATGTATTTTTGTGGGGATTTTTTTCTATTAAAATCTATAGCGGTTTGATTCAAAGCCCAACAAGAGAAGCAGAATTGTCACGTTTTGTAATTATAGACAGTACATAGTAATAACCAGCTGGTTATTGACATAAAAGCACAACCTGTATATGCAAATTAGGCTATCTTGACTGTCATTAGAGACAACAGCTTTAAGGATGATGCAGCAATAGATGGTATTTGCAGCAGGGACAGAGGAGGTGTGTCCCTGATGCCAGACAAAAAGAACAGCGACAAAAGAAAATAAGCTCTCGAGTCAGCATTTGTAAAGTCCATTGTCATTGCAGTAGCAGCTGCATGTGGAAATGAGGCAAATAGAATTTGAAATGAAGAGCTGGAAAAGAAATTGCCACTTGCCTGCAGGGATAGAGACAACTATTGGGCCTGATTGCCAATTAACTGCTCTATTTTTTTCTGACAGCTTTGATAACAGGTCAAAAAAGTGGCAGGAACTGCTCCTTGACCTACTCACTCCATCCTGTGTGGTTGCTCAGCCACAGATACTCCACTGCACACACAGAAATACCACGATGGTTGGTATCTCTATTGTGTTGGATGTGGACAATTTCCAGGAGACTCCAGGGAACTGTCTTTAGACACAAAAAGACTTCCAGGTGTGGAAGGCAGGCTAGGGATGCATGAATATTGTCAGTTCACGTTAAGCATATTGTCAAGGACTAAAAAGAGGATCAAGGGCACTTTTTCAGCATTAAAACAGTGTTTGTACCTACCCTGTCCTGGGGCAGCAGGAGATAGTTTAATGTAAGCACAGACTACAGACAATCAAAGTGTCATCTGAACACCACCAGAGTACAGAGAAACATTCTCTCTAAATGAATGTACTTTTCAACAGGTAGTCATAGTTCCAAGACACAGGTACCTTTGGAGGCTAAATGTTGTCAGAATTACCTGTGCACTGAGTCATCTTGAGTGCTGATAAGCCTGGGTGTGCAAGGTATTTATTAGCTTAGATAGAAGGTCCCTGTTTCTGTATTGAAATTGTCTAAAATGTCTGACTAGTTTGGGTGTTGCCTCTGATGGTTCAAACTGTCTCTCCTGAATGCCAGAACCATGATTGCAGTACTTCTGCCATTTAATTGACCAGCTAATTTACCCTGTAATGATATCATAGGCTATTTAAGGCTGTCTCTTTAGAGCAGAATTATTAGCTTTATTTATCTGCTTCATTCAAGAACAGATGTTTCTTCTGTGTAACTGAAATAATCTACATCTTTGGAAATCAAAGATTGCTGCTTTCTGAAGTAGAATATGATGCGAAATCTAAATTATGAATCATAAAAGGGCAGCAGTGAAACTAATTGCATTGCAACTTTGCAGAAATTGTTTCTCATAAAATCTGACTCATGATAATGGTAAATAGTTAAAAATATTAATAGGATGACAAAAGTGATGTTGTCTTTTACACCTGCATGGCTAAATAGTTCACTTATGCTTTGTCATGCTATTTCTGTGTTTCAGAGAATTGTCATCTGTTTTTTTGCAGATTTGGAGTCCTTTAAATTTCCTTAGTAATTTGGGTTTAAATGTTTTATTTTTTCACCAATTTTTCCACAGTTCATTATTTCTTTAATTGCCAAACCAAGTTTCCAGTGAAGGTGCTTGCACTTCCAGAAACATCTGTGTGAAGGGTCATTTTTTTCGGAATATATATTTTAAATATGTTTTTTCTTTTGAATATGAAGACTGTACATGCTGTTGGTAAGCTTAGCAAAATGGATAAGTAGGATTTTAGTACTTAAGTAAGATCTAGTGACATGAAGGAAAAAGACTTAACTTGCCACCCACACTCAAGGCCATATCCTGTGTGACCTGCAGGAACAGTCCCAGTGAAGACACAGAAAATACTAACCCAAGTAAAGCAGACAGGAGCTATTTAGAATAGTTTGTTGTTTAAGAACTCTTTTTACATAGCATCGTGGAACAAAAGCTTGCCACAAAAGGTGGGAAACAAAAGTACAGTCTTTCCCAAGGGCATCCAGCATGGTCCATGGTAAAACTAGTTGTTGAAGGCAGGTTTCCCCTTCTAGTCTTGTCCAGTGGGTAACAGTACTGTTCTGTTGATATGCACAATTTTTGGGGAACAAGCAGCTGCATATAGCAGATCTGAATTTAATTACTATGAGCAAATGATAGCTTGGTCATTCCAGGACTATTTTTCTTCTTGCTCTAATGCAAAAACACTAAACCAGAAGGGGAATCATAATGCAAGTATAGAGCAACTTTGATGGAAATACTTATGTAAGGTGGATTTTTGCCCCTTTTGGCTTATAAAGTAAAAGCAAAGATTAAACTTTGATGTTTATGGAAGGCACAGCCCCACCTGCAGCACGTTGTGCTCCCTGTCTCCAGCCAGGTGCTGTCAGAGCTGAGTGCAGGCAGGTGGTGCTGCCCTGGGCTTGCCTTGTGTGTGCCCGTGGCACGAGCACAGTGGGAAATGGCAAAGGCAAATACAGGCTCGTGTATTGAGACAATTGTGTGTGACTTCTGTACAAAGCTGCACTTACTACCAACAAGTCTGAATCATCCTGTTGCAATAAAGCTTCAGTAAGAGGAAATGGGCAAAGATCTGTCATGGGGATTTATTGACCTCTTGCTTTCAGTTTTGTTTTGCTTTTTTATGGAGGTCAGTAGAGAAAGGTTCACATTGAGACTCCGGTCTGTGCTCAGTAAAAGCCTGCATTGGGCTCTTTGGCAGTGTTATGAGACAACAGGGTGTCAAAAGAGTGGTGCAGGTCAGGAGCTGTGAAAAGGCTCCTCAGTGTTCGCCCACAGATTGTAGGCAGGTACTTGAAAGTGTCCCACTGAGGTTTATTGCTGTGTAAATGCTGGAGTGCTCAGTGCTTGGCAGGACTAGATCCTAGCACTAACCACTACTTGGCAATGATACTGCACTGCACTTAGGAATTGATGTTTCTAAAAATTGTTTGTTGAAGTGTAAGGAGACTTTAATGTTGGAAAACCACTCAAGCATGGAGGTAGATTGCTGGTCGATGCTTATTCTATGCAAATGAGAACACCAAGTGTATGTAACCAGGTGCTGCTGTTGTGAATTCTCAGTCACTATTACTGAGTGAAAAGAATTGCTGGGTATTTGATGTACTTTAAAGTGTTGTTTGTAACATTCTAAGTATGGTAGGCCTGGACACGTCATTCAAGTCTGGTACCTTGTGTTGAAAAATTTACATGTATCTGGAATTACAGCCTTATATCTTTCCTGTTTATTATTATTAGGTATTGGCAATTGAGGACGACACTTCCTGCTGTCCAAAGATGGAAAACAACATAACTACTATATCTCGTGAAGAGCTTGAAGAACTAAGAGAAGCATTTGGCAAAATAGGTATGTTTTAAATAATAAAACAATAAGGATGCCATTAACATTGCAAAACTGTTTAGGATTTGTGGAAGAAATCTTTATGGATCACCTTATTTTGATAGGAACATGTTTTCCCTCTATGTTGCCAGTAGTATCTAATAAAATAAGAATGTTTACATAGAGCCCCATATTTTCACTAAAACTATGTGTGTTAATTTCTTTCACCTTCAGCACTGAAAACAGATGTATTTTCTTGCTGGGCAGTTGCATTATTTGTGCCTTTGCATATGCTACAGAATAGGTCTCAAAATTCAGTTTTTTGATTTCCTTAAATCTGCAAAAAAAGTTTGATTAAGCTTCAGGTCTTATGTATTTTCATGTTAGATTACTGGCACTTGGTTTTTACTTTACTTTCATGCTTTGGTGAACTAATAATTCCTCTTTTCATTTATTCTATTGGATTTTACATTTTAAATAAGCTAAACTTGGAGATTTTTTAGTCTTGCTTTTGTAGCTAGCAGATGTTAATAAATAACTACAATTTTCTATGTTTGACAGGATGTTTACAGATTAATCAGAGTAAACAGAGTGAGAAATTGGATAGCAACTAACCCTTATTTCCAGATTGTACTGCTGTTGTTAAAGTTCATGTCTGCTTTATTTCCTATTTGCTGCAGTTCTGGGGGGTGATGTGTGACTGTGCAGCCCAGGAAATCAAGCAGACATGTTTGCATTCAGTCATAATGGGGGGAACAGGGTAATTTCAGGCAAGAAGTCTTAAATGTTATGAGTCTTTAGCTTGGTGAAGAAGCTATTGGGAAACTGTATGTTAGAGATTTAAGACAAGAGTAGGCAGAGGTGAAGAAGGAATTATTCAGGTTCTGTCAATAGAGGTATCACGTGATGCCCAATAGAGTCAGAAAGCTTAAAATAAAAAGAAGTAACTTCTCTTAATTATAAATAATTAAACCATGAACCCATTGACTCGAGACCAAAAAAGAGCAGAAATCCTAAAAGGAGAAAGATACATCCATGGGAGGTAATTCATGAGTTGCTGTTAAACACTCATCATGACGTCTGTGGCTCAAGAAGTTTGTAGCCTGCAGGTGCTGGAACAACAGGCCAAAGGGAAGAGCAGTGTATACCTGTATCAGTGTAACATTAGGGGGATGTTAACATAGGTAGATACTCACTGGTGTTGTCTAACTGCTTTTCTGTTTGGTTGGTTTTTCACCATCTGCATTCCTTCTTTCTCTCCATTTCCTGCCTGTGTGTTTTCACGTTTCTGCTGTAAGAATTGTCTGTCCTGCTCCCATTCACTGAAAAGCATTTTCTTCTTTATGCTTTCTGTAAAATACAGACATTAAGCATCATTAGGTTTTTTATTTTTTTTTTCATTTTTACTTTTCCAATGTCTTTATGGATAAATTCCTTGCAGCTACATTGGTAAACTGAGAGAAGGCATGTATTTAACTCTCAGCTTGTCATCATGGAAACTTACCCCCCGTGAAAGATGAACCCAGAGAAATAAAATAGCTGGTAATCTGAGTGAGCTCATGAGGATGTCCTCTGCTGTTTAGACCATCCCTGTTATTACCTGTAGTTTTACATGTCTGCAAGCCAGTGGATGAATTAATGCAGTTGCAGACATAAAATTTGTCCGTGTACTGATTTGTGAGTTGTTGATAGTATTGAAAACACAAAATTATTTTTTTTAATCAGGTGTTTTTAGCCTTTTGTCAGCAGTGAAATGTGGCTGCCTTGTGAAGCTGTACAGAAGCTACACAGTGTAGTATGAATTACAAGAAAATTAGTGTACAGCAATCAGTTATGGCTAGAGATGAAAGCATGTTTCTCTGCTTGCCTTTCTGCAGTGAGAGGCATATTCATCCACTGTGGTATTATTGGCTGAGTTCTGATACCAGGGACAATATGAAGAGAGGTTTTTAACTAGAAAACAAAAAAAAAAACCAAAAGTGGGAGCACCTTGATAAATCAGAAAGGTGGTCACATCATCTGCTCCTCTTTTTGACTGATTGTGATGTTCTCTTAAATTGCTTCCCTTAAATTGATTGTTGGTAGAGCTGGGAAAATACTATTAACTAATATTTTTCAAGAACTTTACTATGATCATAGACATTGTAAATTATTGTCAAACATGGAAAATATTAACATTAAATATATAAAATGATGGGCATTATATCCAGCATTACTTAGGCTGGATATGATTTCTTGTATTTGATTGAACTTCATCTATACTGTGTATGGACTATAGCTTTTCTGCTTTTAAAAGTACTTCTCTCCATTGTATAGCCAATGCACTACAGGTACAGGTAAGGCTATTTTACTGGCATATTCAAATTCTGCTTGTATAAATATGTGTATACATATATATGGAAATATGCATAGATTTAAAAAAACAGGAACAGTTAATGTGGTTGGTTCATTTAGGTGTTACTCTGGGTAAAAACATAGGTGTAAAATGATGCTTTATTATACTAAGATGAATTCAAGTCAGCTTTCTGCACAGAGATTGCCCTAAGGTGAAAGTACAAAGGGTATTTTTGATTGTTTCTCTGCTGCTGCATTATTCATGATGAGTAACAAAATTATACTCAGTTTTTCTTAATTTATTTTTATGATACAGCCATTAATTTCTTTCCACAATTATGAAGCTGTACTGTACCTCTTTTTGAAAAACAGCATTCTGATACTTTGCTGTACATGAACATTCTTGACATGTGGTCTTGGGAGCCAAGTGTAAGTGAAGGTGGCAGAACAAATTGTTCCCAACAGAGCTAGTTAATAGATTAAGGAAGGTCACCTTTAATAAACAGATACAGATCATCCTGGATTTATTCTTCACAGGTAAGCCTAACCACATCAAAAGTTTTGAAGAACAGAAAATGTCTATCAGATACTAGGATAAGAAACAAAATGCAGAGTCAGGCAGAGTTCTTGTGTAAGTAGTTTTTCTTGTGTAAGTGTGCTCTTCTAATAACAACATGCATCAGGTCTGAGTTTCCTGATTGCAAATGGTATAATATTGACAGGAAGCATATATTAATATTAATTGATCTCCCTCTCACTTGAAGGTTTATAGATAATTTTGTTGGGCGTCTTAAAAAAAAAAAGCTTCAACTTCACTACTTGAAAATTTGCTATCTTGTTATAGCTGTGCTTTGGGATCATAAGATAGCTCCTGAGAAAGTACATCACAAGATGGCACAAGGCCTAGACAGTTGTCCCTCTAATCCTCAAGCATTTCTTCATACTTACTTATCTCTGTCAGGAAAAGAAATACTCATCTGCTAGAACTGCTTTACAGTTACTACACTTGGTTCTTTATGTAAATGTAACAACTTGTGCTTTCATTTTACAGACATTGACAACAGTGGGTATGTCAGTGATTATGAACTTCAGGACCTGTTTAAAGAAGCAAGTCTGCCCTTACCTGGTTACAAAGTCCGGGAGATCGTAGAAAAAATCATTTTAGTGACAGATAGCAACAAGGATGGGAGAATCAACTTCGAAGAATTTGTCTCTGTAAGACACTCCCTTTAGATGTTTCTTTACTGTCTGATACCTGTTAAGAATTAGGATTAGAAAACTGAATTAAGTGCTATAACTAAGTACTATTTTAGATAGATATAACTATTATTTTGAGTTTTCTGTGACAATTTAGAATATCCTATATAGTTATTTTACTCTTTCACTCTCCTTTTTAATTTAATAGATCTGATCTGAGAAGCATGTGAGAGTGCCTTAGTTGAAATCAGTCCTACTTTGTTTATTCAAAGATGAAGGGATGGACTACATACTGTAGGAGCTGTTGGGCCAGCCCTTGCTCTGACAGAAGAGCAGACAATTAGATACCAGGCTCTGAATGCTCTTAGTAGTGCAAACATTAGTCTATCACTATGCTTAATCTCTGTACTAAAGGCTGTTTATTCCTGACATTGAGGTACAGTTTTTCCCTTTCAGTGAACAAATTTCAAAGGTTTAGACTTTTTTAAATGAGGATTACTCACTAGTGGGCTTTAAAAGAAACAAAAGCTTATCAGGCCGTTGATTAGTGTGTGTTTGGGATGATTATTTTCTACTTCGAATTTAGAGTAGTGCAGCTCATTGCAGCAGGTTGCTTGTTAAATTAGCTATTGATCTTTCCTTCCAAGATTCTAATTTGAAGTGGTTCATAGGTGAGATGCAAATATTTGCCTCCACATGTTGAACTGTACCTGTTACTTATACTTCATTGTCAGTTTGAAACCTCTACAATATTTTGGCAAATCTAGGATGTGGTTTACATTGCAGGCAGGTGAATAAATGGTATTAGCTTGATTAAGGACATATGTAACTGTCATGTTGTCACCTTTACTGTGCAGCATGTGGTGAAATAAGTGGGAGAAATATGCTATAGGCATTAAAAATGTGCATATCTTTACATGTATGATTCAGTTTACTAAAACATCTATGGAAAAATTGTGTATATTTGTATGTCTACTTTTTTAGTTACCACGGCTTAATGAAGTTATTCACTGAGAAATAATATGTTAGACATTCACTATGCAAGTTTCATAAGAGGATTTAAACTAGTTTTACCCATACAGTAAATTTTTTTTTTAGAACAGAAGTCAATGTAAATAGGCAGTCAGGTTAACTACTGACTCTAGAGTACTTATATGAATTAACACTTAATTATCTGAAAGTATGATCAATCACAAAATACTCTCTACTTTTTTGATTTCAGATAATTCAGGAATTGAAAAGTAAAGATGTCAGCAAATCTTTCCGAAAATCAATAAACAAAAAGCAAGGTATTACAGCGATTGGAGGAACATCAGCCATCTCTAGTGAGGGGACACAGCACTCTTATTCAGGTAAGAAATAATTAAACATGAGCAAATTTCGCATGGAGGAAACTCTTTAAATTTGCACTACAGACAAAAAACCCAAACAATGGGAAAATGTTGGTGTTGAAAGCAAATTAACACAGAGAAAGTATGTGGAGATAGACAAGTGTGGACAATAGTTTATTAGCTATGTTCAGTTGTTACTAGTTTCATGCTGCACTTGGAGGCAAGTGGGACTCTTTGCAAGAGCAAAAGAGCAAAACAAGCACTGACAGCATGTAAGGGGAGAAAAATGGCCCCTTTGGCGTTCTTCTAGTAATGGTAGTCAAGTTTTTGCCTTCATTACATGTTAATCTACTCTTATTCTTATATTCAGATAAAAATGAATTCTCATTTTCATTTCCACAGTGTTAATAGCATAAACTAAAAAACCCTTAACAAAGCACCATATATCCTTTGTGGGTGGAACGGCCCCCTCAGCTGTCTCTGCCATTCCAGAATTGTTCAGTCCTGCATGGTTTTTGCACAGCCTCTCTTACACTTAAGAAGCTGTTTTAATATTTGATCTGTTTCTTTCTGCCTGCCCCTGCTGCATGTAATTTAAGTTGGTAATTGTGCCTAATTGCATTGCAGCTCCTGGCCAGAGTGTTAACCACCTTCCAGGATCACATTGCTATCAGCAATATTGCAACTTTTTTGATTGATTTGAGTCTGGAATTTGCTGTGGTTCCAGACTGTGTTAAGATTCCATATATGAGAAAGATTCACTTTGATTAGCCAGAGGTGGCAATACCCTCTGTTTCAGTATGATTCTTATAGCACCAGCTGCACTTGGTAGATCTCCAAAGCTGGGAATATGTTCCATCTCAAAGGATGCCTGTAGGGCATCAGAGGTTATGGTAATTTTTGGTGGAGAGAAACAGACCCCACTGAAGTGTAGTTCATGTGGCCTGGCCTCATCACCACCTCATTTATGATGAGATGAAGGGTGCACTACAATTTCACGTTGTTTCCCACTGACAGTGGAAGAAGTGTAAGGAGTCAGGTGTAGGTACCTCTCTTGTTTGCTTTTTGAGGTGAGAGGAATACCACCTGTGCTGTTTGGGAATGTGGATACTGATACTTGTCTGACTGTTATCCCAATAAGCTTTCTTAGATATACAGTAATAAATTCTGCACTAAATATAAGGAGAATTTAAAACTGAGATATTAAACTTCTTAAGTTTCTCAAAGCTAAGTACAGCTCAGCAGTCCAGATCAGAGTCTCAAAAAGATTGCCAGTCTCTCAGAATGAAATGCTGTGTTTTAAACCAATGGTGTATAAATTGTGTTGTTGCACATTTCTGATCAGAAATCTTCCTCTTTTCTTTGTAATTGCTGAGAAACTGAATTTGAAGTCAGCCATGAGGATGCCTTCCCTATGATGTCCCTATGATTTTTATGTTCTTCAGAAAATCACCAGATATTTAGAGGGTGCAGTAGGAGAAAGATCAATCTGCACTTGCCATTTTTGTGTTCTTTCCCACTGGTCTGATTCTTTTCATAACTGGCCCCTGTGAAACTAAGGGGTTTTATTGCAGATTAACCTCTTTGACCCACATATGATGTTTAGTAGTATGTGTTCATGAAAATGATAATCCACTATTTTAGTGCTGTCTTTTTTTTCAGAGGAAGAAAAAGTTGCTTTTGTTAATTGGATAAATAAAGCTCTACAAGATGACCCAGACTGTAAGCACCTCCTCCCCATGAACCCATCAGATGCCAGTCTGTTTAAATCCCTTGCAGATGGCATCCTTCTTTGGTGAGTCCAAGAAAGAAAAGAAATTAATCTCAAAGGTTAAATGCTGATCACAGTGACATGAATTGGAAAACTTCTGATAGGCTTTTACATCAAGATTCCACTCTTAAATATTTCAACCAATGTGTAAAATGGGGAAAATCTGTTTACCCATAGAAATGTGATTTTTAGCAAATTTTTTATATGACTCTGTGCATATGTTATAGAAGTGGTTTTCCACTTCAGACCCGTAATTGTGCTCGTCAGATATGTGCAGGCTGTTTATAAAGGAGATGATAATTATGCAGTTCATATATTCATTAGTGGAAATAATTAGAAAATGTTTAAAATATTTTTAGAAGTTACTAATTATAGTCACGAAATCATGGAACAGGAGGAACAGAAATCTGAATTAAATCCATGGCAAAACAGAGAGCATATAGTAGGTCCCTTAACTTCAGTTTGCTGTAACTTTCTAGTTAGTTAGATTAATAGTACTTAATCATACACCATGCTAACAAGGGATTAGCATGTTAGTATTGATGTGAACTAGTCTTTGAGATCCATGTAGATACAAGGTACTACAGAAATGCAATGCAGAAATACACTGATTATACTACAAAATTTGTCAGTAGAGACCATTTAGCTGACTTTGGTTTACAGTTTTAATCTTCTCAGGACCTTTTTCTGACAGTACAGACATGCTCTATTAATTATAAAAGCCAAATGCTCAAGTTTCTTTTAGCAACATTATCTGGGGCGTTCTGAATGAATGTGCAAGTATTTAATAGGGAGAGGAGATTTAGAGGATGATGGGTTTTTTTAAATCTTGTCGTAAGTATTTTCAGCTAGTTTAAAGTGTTACAGTTTGTAATCAAATAGTATATTTTCTGTGAAATGGAAGTTTGAATTAACTCTTGATTTTTCTTCCTTAGCAAAATGATTAATTTTTCACAACCAGATACAATTGATGAAAGGGCTATTAATAAGAAAAAACTGACTCCTTTCACTATTTCTGTAAGTACTGCATGGATAGGAACTCGCCATAAATGAAAAAGTGTTTTTCTGATTTAGTGACAGTTCTCCTGGTGGAGAAAAAAATAATTAAAACTCCTATGTAATAAAAAAATCATAAAGCATGAAATTCTATATTCTAATACTCTGCTAAATTCTCCTGTTTCTTGGATGATTTACAGGGAAACTTGGATTTTTCATGCTTTCCCTAGTTCTTTCCATATTCACTATTTTTGTTTTGCTTTATTAAGTACCTGAAGAAAAGAATTTTAGATTTCTGAGTAGATGGTCAGGTTGTGCTTTAGCAAAGCAGGAACTACCTGCATGGCTGTATGGCAGGATGATGTATTTTCATAGTGGAGAGCACCTTGGACAGAAAATGAGAGCCTCAATTTTTAATCATGTACGAAGTCATGAAAAAATTTGAGAGAAACAGTTTTTATGATCTTTAGGTTTAAGAAAATAGGTCTGGAAGAGGAAGTAGATCCATAAGTCCAGAGAGAAAAAAATGCTGATTAAAAACCTCAGTTAATTGGCAGACTTTTCATTTCAGGCTGTGACATTAAAATACGAAAAGTTAAACCATACTATGTTCTAAATCCTCCAAGTGGGTTCTGTAATCTCTACTTTAATTTAAAGAAGATTTGTCAGCAAAGATGATACTATGTGTGTTTATGTTGTATCTGTAGATAGTTCAAATGTGACACAAGAAAACAGTAATATTGATGGGAGCTGCCAGCTATTTTTTCTTGGATTTTTTTTCATCTGTTAGGATCATTGGCTTTGCTTTCAGTGTCAGGGTGTTGAATTGTCGTGATTTCCTTATGCTCTCTATTCAGTTACAGTTTTACAGTTGCCTTAGTGTGTCAGCCTGTATAAGATTCAAGATGGGATGGCAGTGATGTCAGTAACCTTCTGCACAGCGCAGAATTCCATAAGAGCATGGTTTTCTACTGGATCAGGCCCCTGATATTTTGAGCAGTTTTGTTTAATTTGTACATCTGATACTTATGAATTACAAAAAGTGTTTTGATTAGAGTATTCCTCAGTGATCCAAACTGCAGAAGGTAGTCCACAATTTTTTGTGGGTCCGTATTAAACAGTATCAATAATGTTTTCTACTAAATTTTGGTAGGATATGAGGTAGTTCACAAAAAATCTCTGGAGTGCAGTTTTCTATTGAACTAATGCATTATTTCTTCCAAAGTTTAACATGAACTAATTTACTAAGAATTACAGCCTCACGAGTTTGGTAAACAATGATATTCCAAATAGGAAAACCTAAACCTGGCTCTGAACTCAGCATCTGCCATTGGCTGTACGGTTGTCAATATTGGATCACAAGATTTGCAAGAAGGGAAGCCACACTTGGTATTAGGACTCCTGTGGCAGATCATTAAAGTTGGTCTTTTTGCTGATATTGAGCTCTCCAGAAATGAAGGTAAGAGCAGTGCCAGGTACAGCAATGTCAGCCATTTGGAATTAGCTGAGACCACAGTAGCAATGATTTCAGCTTTCTTTCAAACTTGCTTTTAGCTCTTATTGCCTTGCTAAATGAAGGGGAAGAACTAGATCAGTTGATGAAGCTTTCCCCAGAAGACCTCTTGCTGCGCTGGGTGAACTATCATCTGGCCAATGCAGGGTGGCAGAAAATCAGTAACTTCAGCCAAGACATTAAGGTATGTAGTTATTTGCTCTGATAATTGAACATAGTGCTATTAAAATATTATGCACACTATGCATAAAAACAAATCAGTCAGATCAGAAGAATTTAGATAAAATAGTAATCTACTTTTTCTAACTGTAGGTTCACCCTGCATTTTTCAACTCCGAAAGAGTTTTGATGTCACACATCCTATTCAGTTGCTCATACTATCACATCACAATGTGGACACTTCCAACAAGCTCATATTCAGGGAAATTCTAATGTTCTGAGGTGCTGATTAGAGTTATTTAGGACAATTTGCACTACCCTATTAGTTAACTAATAACTCCCAGCCACTGCTTTGCTGGTGTGCCAAGTGACTGACACGGGGGACTGAAAGGTGTGCTGGCTCCTCGGGGCAGGTGGCAGAGCTGCATAATTCTTCTCTCTTCAGTCACTCTGCATAAGGTTTGCAGAGTTCTGTAGTAGCCCAGTTGAAGAGAGAAAACACCAACTTTTTAAAACTAAAAGCAAAGGAGGAAGATTCCTTAAGGTGATAAAACCTCCTTTCACTGAAGAAAACCATGTCATTAATGGCTAGTTAGGTATTTTGAAATGCCACCAAGAAAGCTGTTATTAAAGCAAGCATTTAACTAAGGTTTTATATGAAAACTGCTACTATGGTAAAAATATATGCTGTTTAAGAGAAGTATTAAATACTTCTAAAACTAGTAGGGTTTTATTCTTTCTCCTGGTTTCCTACTGGGGGGGACCCCAGAAGCACACTGAAAACTGCATCAAATTAATATAATTTGTTTTGTCACTATAGATTCATCCTAAAAGAACCACCTTGCTCTCCTTTTTTTATTTCCATTACCTCACTGATTAAGAAAGAGAAATTTTTATAAACCAGTCTATTTGATAAAGACAGTAAAGGAGTAAGATACCAACACTGAATATAAGATGCAGATTAGGTATTTTTCTATATTAATTTGCCCTGAATATCTGAATTACAACAGTCTAGTTAATATTCAGCAGAATAAAACTAGCATTGTCCAGAATAATTAGCAGACATTCCTTTTCTCTGTCATCTGGCTAAATAACTTCTATGTGAAATAGTGTAGTAAAATGGCTGTATGACCTCTTCCATATTCACCGAAATTAGGGTGCTGTATTTTTTACTTATGTGGCTTTTACATTGGACTATTAGAGCAATAAATGGCTAGGAAAGGCTACATACTTGCTGCTTTTTATTTTTTTAAATATTGCCTGCTTGTTTTAGGATTCAAGAGCATACTACCATCTGTTAAATCAGATTGCACCCAAAGGAGATGACATCGATCAACTGCCCATTAAAATTGACTTTTCAGGATTTCACGTGAGTATCCAGAAATGGAAAAATAGACTGGAATTATCTGAGACCTCTGTGTATGTGTCCAGCATCCTGGTTACCAGGATCTTCTTTTGTTTTCTAACACGTGCAAGAACTCAGATTCCTCAGTGTTACAAAGGCTTAAATGGGCAAAAACTTGTAAGGTTCCTGAGTGCTGCCGAAACAGGATAATGCATCCTGCAGTCTGAAGTGTGGAGCTGTGTTTGACTTGGAGTAGTGTATGTTTATTTTCAGCTGGGTCATCCAACACAAATATTACAAGATCCTGCTCAGTCTTCCTCTTTTGGAATTCAGACAAGGAAAAAGAGTAGACTTCACAAACCTTGTGATCCTTTCTCAAACCTTCCTCAAACAGCTTTCAGAAATAACACGTGGGCCCTTCCAATAACCAGCAGGACAGTGTGGCATCCATCAGGCTTGAAGTTGTAAAGGGACAGAGGGTCTAAAACCAGCCTACATGGATGTGAAAACACTTTTGCCTAAGGTGCAACATAGTGCTCATTGGAAGGATTGTTCTGAGAATGCATTTGATGCAAAGCTGAACTGCATGCCAGAGATATCTATATATCAATCAGAATCTAAAGTAGAATCTCATTATTCATTATAATAATGAAACCCATATGCAAAGTTGTTTGCTTACAGGCTTTAGTTCTCTCAAACTCCTTCATAAGGAGAGCTCTGTTTTCTTTGTTTGCTCTTGCTTTGGATTTTTTGGGGAGTGAGAAAGAATAGTAGTTAGTTTTTCTATGTAGTTTCCTACGGTTCATATGATCATGTTCTGTAATGAGTTATAAACCTGAATACAAATAATAAATACCAATGTACAAAACACACAGGTTGCCAACTTACGATGATTCAGAGGCAAAAATATTAAAAGGAAGACAAGTCTGAAGCATTCAAACTTTCACTTAGGATTTTGGGCATCATCTGTAATTACTGTGCTTGAGAGTATCAGTTTAAAGCAGTGATGGTGAACCTTTGGCAAAATATGTAACATGGGAATCAACAGTCTGGAAATGGAAATATAATCACTACAGTTCTGGCTGCAGTTGCTGGGATTCATGAGGAATGCTGTGCTGGCAGCCACAGAAGTGAAGGACAGAAAAAAGGTGGAAGGAAGAGGGGAATTGTCATGTCACATCATCAGCAAGAGGTAGCTCAGGCATTGAGGAATGAGGGAGGAACTGACGTGGGTCATTTAAAGATTTTCCTACCTGAAGATCTGGTAAAAAAACGAAAATGTGCAGCTACTTATTGGAAATTAATTTTTGTTTGTTTGTTTCTCTTTTTAGGATAAAAATGACTTGAGGAGAGCTGAATACATGCTCCAGCAGGCAGATAAATTAGGCTGCAGGCAGTTTGTAACTCCAACTGATGTGGTTGCAGGCAACCCTAAACTCAATTTAGCTTTTGTTGCAAATCTCTTTAACACCTATCCAGCCCTACACAAGCCTGACAATTCATCTTATGATCTCAATTTATTAGAAGGTACTCAACTTACTAAGCGTACAGAAGATAAAAATATTAGTGATTTATACTTAAGTATTCCTTCTAGGTTGTGATGTAGGATCCCTGTGTGATGGTGCCTGTCTTTTCTCACTAGCAATCAATATAAACCTTAGTAGAAGTGCCTGTTGCTGTGTACATTGTTCCCTTGTGTTAGTCTGACCAAGTGGTTATTCCTGAATAACCTTCTATTATTCATTTGCAGGAGCAAAAGCTATCCTCTTACTTTCCTTCCAGTTTCCTGTGCTTCTTTCCATACTATTTATATTTTAACTTATGCACAAATTCTAGCTTTTCCTAATTTGCAGTGCCATACTACGCAGCTTGTGGGAACAAGTTAAGCCAGCAGCACCTGCATTCAGTTAACCAGAATTCCCAGGACTTTTTGCAAACTCGATATTTTAATTCACACACTCCTTCTCAGCTCCAAAGCTGAAACACTCCCTTTTGATTGTAATTACCTTTATGCAGGTGCTGCTGGCTTAACTTGTTCCCACAGCGACTGTAATAGCCTTTAAAAGTATTTTTCCCATACTTCATTGATATATATTTGTGTGTGTTTGTTTGTTGCCTTTTAAGGCAGGAAATTTTTTTAAAAAAAAGGCTTCTGTATCAGCAACCTATATTAATCTATTACATCAACAACCTGTATAGATCCTATTGTATCAGGGAGTTTGGCCTTTAACTGTACAGTTCAGATCTCTAATGCTAAAGGGATAAACAGTCTTTGGCTGTTGCCCTTGCTGTGGCAAGGGCTAATCTAGGATAATGAAATGGCTCCTGCCAGTGTGTTTCACAGTTGTTCACTGATCTCAAAGGAATGTGAGAATCAGGGGTGCCGCACTCGGGAGAATCATCAGCAATGTTCACATATTCCTCTGCACTGCCTTCTCCTGCCTTTCTCTTACTGTTCCTATCAGGTTTCCTTTCCATCTAGGTGAGTCCATCTTCCTTGCTCCTGTTTTTTCATAATTTGTCTGTGCTGCTGCATCCCTGTGTCACAAATCTTGTATCCCCCAGACCACTCCTGTGTCAGGCTTCCTGCTCTTCTCGCTTCAGCTGGGTGCCAGCTGTGATAGAGGTATCAGGCACAGTCTTCCCTTTTCAGCTGTGATATCCCCAGTCACTGCAGTCCCTGTTGGCCAGGACAAATGATTGAAGGAAAGGTTTGGTCTTCCTCTGCTGCAATTTTATTAGAAATGTATGCTCTTGCAAATTTATACAGGAGCCGCGTGGAGGTGGAATATGTTTAGTTCAGCTTCTGTGTTCTGAAGACAAAGTTGCTGATGTGATTCAAAATATTGAAAACTTGGTCAAATTTGGAAGTTTTCATTGGCATGGCAAAAAACCAGCTGAACTAGTTTCTGGGCTTTCCTGAAATATTTAGATGAGATCAAATCTCAGCTAAAAACAGTTTTAAAAACTTACAATCACCTGAATGCTAGACTACAATTTTGTAATGGTAAATACTGGCCAAAATTAACTTACTATTTATAGTATATATTTTAGAGATGGGTAATCATGCCAATGCTGTCTGTTCAAAGGCATGACTCTTCTTAGCCCCCAATAACAACTCCCATGGTGTCATGTAGACCTAAACCATCAAAATAGTTATTTTAGCCAAAAGGCAATGTTGTTAATGTTTTTTTCTGTTAATATGTTTTATTTTCTTTCCATAAAATCCTGTGTTTTTACTGTTATTTTCTCAAGGTAGTGATATAAAATATGACATTAATTTCTCTATAGTTTCATCATAGATTGTCTGTTGAAATCTGACTCATAATTTATAATGCTTTCCTGTTTTGCTTCATGAAATGCAGATTTGACCCCTCCTAATGTAGGTACTGTATTTAGTACTTTTCTGTACTCCATAAAAGTGTTTATTCTGCAATTTTTCTTCTTTTTTTTTTCCTAGTGTTTAATCATCTCTGTCCTTTTCTGGTTGATTTTTTGCATCGTTCTTACATGTTTCTATTGTTTTAATATGCCGTCATAAGTAAAAGAGAAGGAAAAAACCCCACAGGTGTGATGCACATAAAATGGGGGCAAGAGTTGCAGTAAGTCAAATGCCATACAGTTATTTCAGTGGGTTTAGCCAGTAAGGGCTTTCCATGAACGAGATGTCAAGCTGTAGGCATGTGTGGGTGAGTAGAGCTTTCTGAAAGTCTTCATTTTCCTGCATAAATTCCATCTTTTCAGTGACTGCTCCACCCGAAGGGTATGATGTGGCAGTTCTCCTGAGTTTCAGATAATGAATTCTGTGCATAAACTGACATCTGCCCTGATAATACTGAACAAGTCAGGTGATGTGCACTTGTATAGAGAGAGTGTATCCCTCAGGAATACTGACACAACCAAATGAACACTTGACATTGTGTGGGGGTGGAGGGGACAGCCCTGACTTCACTTAATGCATAACCTTTGCATGTTGCTCCTGTTCTGAGGAACCTCAGCACTCTGGAGTTGAGGTCATACAGAAAGCTGAGCTCTTGGGGGGAGGAAGAGGAGGGACCTGTGTCCACCCCACTCACCTTTTCTCCAGTGTCGATGTCCTCTGCTGTTGCTTAGATTACTGCAGCCTTCATGGCTGTTACCATGAGTTACTCCCACTCAGGCTGGCTGAATTTAGAGTGCAATTGCAACTTGAGCTCTGTTCTCTTCCAGAGAGAATCTTAGGTATTTGGAGCTCTTTGGATTCTTGACCCCCGTGCTATGGCTACTCCCCACTCAGTTCCACAGTATAGTGATCTCAAAGAAAGAGATGGCAATAAATATAAAGGATACTACCAAATTTGCTCCTCTCTCTTTTGTGTAGCTCTGCCCCCTTTCTGCAGTTTTCCAATGATTTTGGCTATCTGCTGCACCACTCAGCAGAAGATATGCTCCTGATAGGATCACAAGGTATATTTTGAATAAAAGAATAGAGAGAAAAAATTGATCAGTTCTCAGCCATCTGGAAAACTTACAAACGCTTATGTGTTGCATGATAAAGGGATTTGTTTAGAGTGGCATATTAAATATAGTATGCTGGGTTTAGTTCCTGGATTCCCACTATCCAAAAGGGTCCAGCCCAACTTGCATGCTCTTGCTCCTGCTTGGCTACTTTGGATTCTTTCAACAATGTTAAGCATGCCTTTTAAAACTCTCACTCTGAGTGCAGTTGCTGAGTATGTGTTTTTGTAGCTACACTGTTTAGTAAGAGTTCATTAAATAACCCTGGTACTGTCCTTGCAATGGACAAGTGTTCCTAAAAGCACTTTGCAGTCAGTACTTTAGGTACTGCTGCAAATGAACTCAAAGCTCAGTAACCCTAAACACTTTTAAAAATAAAACAAAAGGTACTTGCTTCAAAATACTATAAAGTCTAAAGATACTCTTTATAAACTTAAATTATATCTCATTCTTGAGTTGTGATTGGGTTTTTTTAAATGGGAAAACTGATATTTTTAAAAACTTTGTCACAAAATGTAATTCTTCTTTTAAATTTTAATGTGCGAAGAAATATGAGAAACAGCTGACTGATGACCTTGCAGAATAATATTTTTCCTTGTTTCAGCATATATTCATCAGTAACTCTTTAGTTATTTTTACAAGTAAATATTTGAAACAAACACTAGTTCAAATTGCATATGAATAAACTCATAATTTAGAATATATGTCAGTAGGATGAATATAAACTATTTCATAATTACAGGAGAGTAACTGGTAAGCTGGCTGAAACTTTTTAAATAACATTTATTGTGTTAGAAATTGTAAACTACAGCTGAAATCTCTGAAGTCCAGAGCTTTTTGTATAAAAGGGTAAGAGACCTAGATTAAAATTGTAACCTCTATCTAAAAATCAATGTTATGACAATGTTATGCATGGAAAAATAATATTAAAGAGGTTTTCTTTCGAGTCTAAACAAAAATACATGTTTACACAGTAGTTTCATTTTGGAAAAACATTCATTATTGTGTAGTCAGCCTCGAACTGCAGTACTAAATGAGACAGTTGTCATGCTATATAAACCTCATCAGACAAACTTGGTATCGTTACCCTCTAAGGAGCAAATGAGAACAGCAAAGAAAAATCTTACTTAGGTATTTGTGCTTCAGTACAGAGAAATCTGTTCTTTCATTGTTTGGGGAGGTTTTCTCCCTCCTCAGCGTCCTCTCTGTTTTCTTAACTGTGGGAATAAAGTGATGAGGTTATTCCAAGCTCACATATTCAGGCAAAATATTTTCTTAAATGTGCTTCTTTGCTGTAAGAGAAAACAGCTTATGCAGCACTGATTCACAGGCAGTTGGCCATAATTACATTGTTAAAATTTAGGTAGTGTTTATGTAGAAAGTCAGTGTACTATTGCAAGCAGTAACTTTATAGAGAAAGAGAGTTGGTTTAGGACTCATGGTGGCAATGGATAAAAGCAATCTAAGTCAGGAAAGTGAAGGTTGGGTTTTGCTTCCTAATTACTTTTCTGCGGTTCTCATAAGCAGAATTGCTGGTTAAAACTGTGAGGATAACTGGCCCCCTTGGCAGCTTCACAAATTTAACCAATACATCACTGCCTTGCTAAGTCTCCAGTGCTAAAAACTAAAAATGTGAATTCTGTTGCTTTTGGGAGGCCCTTCACAAATTAACCCTGGCAGCTTCTGTGTGGAGAGAGTTGAGCTGTAGTGTCTGCAGCTTGGAGCATTTGCAATAAGTGTGTTAGTACTAACTTTTAATAAAAAGATGCCATTTCAAATAGATTTAACCATACTGTTGAACGCAATTGTCACTCAGTTTTAGGAAATTATTATTAATCATCATGAAAATTAATATCATTTTTCATGAAGAAAATCATAGTTTTTTTGTGATATATTAATTACGTAAAATATAACAAAAGAAGTCTATTTTATTTCATCAAATTGTATTTACTAGGAAAAATGTAGTGCTTCTGTCCCTGTGGCCAGAATTAAGTGAGTCTGAATTGGACAGGATTGCCTCATGTATTACCCAGTAGAGACACTGTTAGGGAAAGTATGAACTCGTTTCAGGGAGGGAAGGGGGTATGAGGAGTATGAGAGCCATTTAAACATTGCTTATTAAAGTGTTTTCTCCAATAATTTATTGAGAATTATATTTGTCACCATAGGAGAAAGTAAGGAAGAAAGGACTTTCAGAAACTGGATGAATTCACTGGGTGTAAGCCCATATGTTAACCATTTATACAGGTAAGGGTTTTTTAAAACAATTATTTGACTTCCCTTGGATGACAGGGCAAGAAAAAAGGGAAGAAGAGAGGGAAGTTGTATTTCTGCTGCAACAGTGATTTCCAGGTTTCCAGACAGTGTGATAGGAACTTCAAAACTGATCTGTAGAACCACATTAAGTAGTGTCATACTCAAATAGTCTAGTCATCATCTAGAAATACTAAAAAAACCTAAGAAGGTTTTTATGTTGTCCCGTCACTCAGTTGTGCTTTGAGTTATGTTTTTTTAAAAGTTGAGATAATTGTGTTTTATGATGCGTGGGGTTTTTTCTCAGTAGACTGTAAGGAGCTGTGCAGAGTGGGGTATTCCCTCAAAGGAAAGGCTTTGTAACGTGCTTTTAGATGCTTCTGGTCACTCTCAAATTGTGCCAGCAGTTGATTCAAATCTTGTCAATAAAAGATGAGACAGAGAGAGAAACTGGGAGCATCTGCTTCCATGTGTATTTGCTGTTAGCTTTCATTGTGTCTGTTTTCTGACCTCTGTAAAGTGATCTGTAGGTAGCTTAATGTGGAGAATTTCATTCAGTAAGTAGCTCAAGGGGATTATCAGGAATGCAATATATAATGGGAAAATAATACTTTTACTACTATTCTTTTTTGTACAAGATAAGTACTTTGGTTTTGATTATTCTTTAGCAAAATACATCTGTAGGTGCAGATAAAGCATCATTATTTAACATTTGGAAAAGTCCTGAGGAAACTAAAACTAGATCAATAAATTAAAACTCTTTAGCAGCTATTTTGTCTATGCTCACTCTATGAAAGCAATTATTTAATTGAAGTTGGTAGAGCCTATGGGTGAGCTTACTTCACTAAGATTTGTGAAACTAATGAAATTAAATGCAGAATTTGATCTATATAATTGCTGAAACCAAGCAATAGAATATAGGCCAGTTTCTCTACCGAGTGACACACATTTTTATTTAAATGTCTGGAATTTTTCAGCGACTTAATTACGCTTTGAGGAGTCTCAAGTACTTACTTTCATTGTCAGTATGAGCTTTTGTGCTTAGAAACGTTGTTTTCCTCTGGTTTAGTGACCTTTCTGATGCTTTAATCATCTTCCAATTGTATGATATGACTCGTGTGCCGGTTGACTGGAACCATGTCAACAAACCTCCTTACTCACTGCTCGGTGGGAATATGAAAAAGGTGGGTGGATGCTCTGGAATACAGCCCAGCTTCACTGCCTCCTCTGTGCTGATTGTGTTGTCTAGATTTGTGTGCTACTGAGAGTCCTGCGGGGGGGAAAAAGAGGAAAGCATATCTTCCAGATATTAGCTCAAGGAATAAATAGTAGTTATAGCATATATCACTTTATAAATGTGGACACCTTTTGGCAATATGTAATTTATGGTCTGGTTTGGATATATAAGTGAAAGTTTCAGGTCTGACACAGCTATCACAGCTTGCTGCTCTTTATCCCGTGAGGTGTTTCCTCACAGCTGCCCAGAGGATTTGTGCAGGACTTGCAGAATCCAAGTTTTCCATTAGTTTTGTGACTGTAGAGGATAAAAATTACTGTATGTTTAAGAAGAACACATTTAAATATTTTTCCAAGTGTAGTTTTAAAGTAGGTATATTTTAATTCACTGCCCTAGTGAAAGTGAACTTGTTTTTTTCAAATGTGGGAAAAATATAATAATTTGAATATTACACACTTGCATTTGTAGTAAAAACTGTGTTATTTTAATCACAGTGGAGGTAGAGTAGAAATCCTTCTCTAGCTTCAAATCTCACCATAGGTAACAGTTAGCCAAAGTTATTCAAAATAGACATAGATTATAGGTCTGTATTGCAGAAATATTAAGGTGTTTTCATTATTTGCACACAAAATTTATTTTTAGATTGAGAATTGCAATTATGCAGTGGAACTTGGGAAGGCAAAAGCCAAATTCTCACTGGTTGGTATTGCTGGACACGATCTAAATGAGGGTAATCCAACTCTGACTTTGGCTTTGGTATGGCAGCTGATGAGAAGGTAAGTTGGGCATAATATATGATAAATGTGTATATATGTGTCTGTGCATGCCTGTATGTGTCTTGTATATCAAGGCAAATTAAGGCCAGTGGTCAGTTCACTCAATGGGTATTTTAGAGAGCAATCTCTAAATAACCCTCTTCTCAAAGATAAACTTTTATATGTGTTTTGTTATTTTCCATACTGTGTAGTGATTGAAAAACATTTTATAGCAACACTTAAAACCTTATAAACTAGAAACTGGGATTAAAATTATAAATCCTACAGCAAGTAAAAAGAGCTCAGATTATTTCATGTTGATTCCATGTATCTTTCTGTAAGTAGAGATTAATTTAAATATTTGTAAAACCCAAGAAAGAGGTAATATATACTATAGAAGCTAACAGGGTAAAAACAATTGTAGGTCATCACAGCTATAGCAACATAACTATCATAAAATCAAAATCTTACTAGTGTACTGAAGAAAAAAAAATTATAAAGTGATTTCAATAAAGGTTTTTATTGCAAATGTTTTCCACAAGGCAGTTTTCTTAGACTGATTGCAAAACACTTGATACTTTTTTTTCCTGAGACTGTTGTGATTCCGTTTTCATAAAGTAAAATTAATTATGGTGTGCTGAGGTAAATACATGAAGAAGATGTGTCAGTGAATATTATGAGGTTTGTGATACTATTTTTTTCTTGCAACCACTGAAAAAGTGATTTAAAGTACTAAATAATTTATAAGGTAAGGGTACCTTATGAAGAGAAGTACTTGGCATTGTTACTGTGATGAAGTAATATTTTACTTTTGCTTGTAGCTTTGTACTGTTTGAAGAGTTGAGTTCTACTACTCATTTTAACCTGGGCTCTTGTCTTCTTTACTGAAGGTATACTTTGAACGTACTATCAGACCTTGGAGAGGGGGAAAAAGTAAATGATGAAATTATTATTAAGTGGGTGAATCAGACACTTGCAAAAGCAGATAAGAAAGCTTCAATTACAAGTTTTAAGGTAATCAAATTTATTTACTTTTCCTTCCATATACAATCACACCTGGGATTTTTAACCTGGTATGTTAACAGTTTGGCTTTAACAGTGGCTCTCCCATCAGCTAGCATAATTCCTTAAGGAAGTATTTCTGACAGTTTGTGAATCCTCAAAAGTATTTTACAAATCTATTAATAAGAAAAAGAAATTTAATAGCTGGAGTAAGATAGAAAACAAAAACCCCAACAACAAAAAAAAAAAAAGAAAAAGAAGTTTAAACATTCAAAGGGGCTTCTGCCTGAAGTTACCAATGTTTGGGCATGGGATGTCGTGTATCTTTCAAATTTTTAGATATAGGCACATGCTTGTACAGGGAAGAATAATTTTGGAATTGCTGGGGGCGGCTCACTGCTTTTACTGACAGCTGGTTAAAAAGGTGTTCTCAGAGTGGCAGAGCCAGGAGAGGGAGCCCAAGGTAACCAGCGACATCTTGTGTCCTCCTCGGCACCGCCGCCGTGCAGCTGGCCTGTGTCAACCAGGAGCTGTCCCATGCAGCAAATAGGAACAAATTGATAAAGGAAGCTTTCCTTCCACATTATTCAAGTGTTAAACGCGAAGGAAGCCGTGTGTGTGCAAGGTGTGTTATGCTGCATGAATCTCTAGAAATGGCAGATTAATAATTGCACTTGCATGCAAATGTAACATTCTTATACAAGTTCATTGTATAATCAGCAGCAATTATGTCTGTGATTCACAACAGGAACATAAGGTTAATATTTGAGAGCTTATTGTGGTATGAACTTTAATTAGGTAAGCATTATTAGGTAACAGGTAATATAATTTTGTAGAGCAAAATATTCCATTTTCACTCTAGGAGGTCACTTAGGTCTTTTTTTAAGAGAGATTGCTGCTTCTCTTATTTCTGCCTAAATTGTAATAATGTTGGTATTAAATAAATGAAAGTCTGAAGGGAATCTGTCCCAATATCTTGCTTTTGGTATGCCTGTGTTTTTGGTAGGACATTGCTTGTTTTTAAGGTCATTCAACTGGTGTTTTTTAAGATAATTCAACTGATGCTTGACCAATAAAGATAAGGAGGTACTGATGTAAAGTGACATTATTCAATATTCCTTTTTTTTTACTACTAATTTTTTTACATTATTCACATATATATTGTCTATCACTCTTTGGATTTTGGCATTACTGTGGCAGACAGATAGTAGAGAATGCAGAAATGCCTGATATTTTACTGTGGACTATGAAAGCCAAGTGCTATTGAATTCCCATTAGTTCAAACAGTAAAAATGACAAAGGTGTGTCCTATGGTCTTGGGCATATACTCCATGCATGTAATGTCTTCAAGCAGAATTATATTAGTATTTTTAGATGTATAATTAAGATGTATAATCAATATGATGGCTCTGTGGGACTTCATTGAATTGGGAATCATAGCTCTGACCTGGTGACAGGCAGCTGTGTCACGTGGCCTGTGCTCAGCTGCTGCTGTCTGCTCTTGGTTTGGCATCAGCAGCTCCTTCTCTGCCCAAACAGTTGGGAAGGAATAATTGCAGCAACAGCACTTGCTCTTTTAAGAATGTGTATTAAATATGAAACACAGACTGCTCCTAGTAGCTCAGAATACCATCTGAGTTGAAAAATTATAAAAAGGAGCTGTAAACTACTGCAGAAAACAGTTCCATGGCAAGAAAAGGAGAAAACCAAAAGTACTGGGGAATGTAAATATCTTGATGTTGTCTTGAAAGTCTGGTCTTTAAACTTCTATCAAAATTCCCTTCCTTCCTTAGGAAAGGGGAGAAGTTTCATCAAATAAATTTAAACCATTGGTGTAATAATCATATCAGCACAGTGAACATTATAATTCTGATACAGAAAAGAACATTAGATCTCATAAAGGGTGAGGAAAACCTTCACACTATAAAGTAACAAAACAGTATGTATGCAAGATGTGCTGTAGAGTTTTTTGCATTGTGAAGATGGAATAATCAAAGCAAATTCCTTAAACTAATCTTTTGAGTCTTTTTCTTTTAGGACAAATCAATTAGCACTAGTTTACCTGTCCTAGATCTAATAGATGCCATTGCACCAAAAGCAGTTCGTCCAGAAATGGTCAAGAGGGAAGACCTTTCTTACCAAGACAAATTGAATAATGCCAAGTAAGTTTTAAATGAATGCACTGTATTTTCCTGAGGTGTGGGAAATGCATGAATTCATGGTGTAATTAACGATTTACTGATTTGTTAACAGAGAGAGATTACACTAATATGAATTGATTTGTTTCAAATAGAATATATTATAAATTCTAACATTACTGAGTTATTTTTCTAGCGTATCTAAAATATGAACTCAAATTCCCAAGTGATATGACCTCCCACCACTGCACTGCAATTGGTTTCTGAATAGCCTGCCAAAACCCATATTATTTTTGACAAAAATAAATGCTTTGATAGCCAGTAGGAAAACATCTGCCAGTAGAATTGCTAATATATGCTTTCTTCACAATAATATCCATTTTCTAGTAAAGCCTAAGTACTGACTGAACAGATGTATCCCACTATTAAAATCTCATTTTGTTGTTGTGGACCGTGACACATTAGAGATGCCAGACAAATGACAGTATTTGTTTTCTCTCCTTTTCAAGGTATGCCATTTCGGTTGCTCGAAAAATTGGTGCTCGTATTTATGCTCTCCCAGATGATCTGGTTGAAGTGAAGCCAAAAATGGTGATGACAGTGTTTGCATGTTTGATGGGAAGAGGACTGAACAAAATAAAATAACGAAGACATGTAATATAACTTTCTGCCATGTTAAACACGATGAATGCCTCGCAGTTTACAGAGTTCTGAAGCTTAGTATGAAATGAGAAAAAGTGTATGCACAAATACACTCATCAATTACCATTTAATAATGTGTTTATATTAGTTAATTTTATTCCATTTCATAACACATGGATTATTTATGGCTAATACTGTTTTCAGAACCCATTCATTACCAAATTAACATCATAGATTTGTATTGCTTGGAAAAAACCCCACCATATTAATCAAGCTTCATTTGTATTAGTTTTCATAGCGTTGTAAGAATCTGCATCGTTTTACATATGTTATTTCAGGACCAGCTGCGAAACATTGTTTGATTTTTGTGGGTGTTACTTACACGTAGTCATACACGTTTCAAGGTGCATTCCAATCCTGTCGTATTACTCCAAACTGCACAGAAGTTATCATCCTTGCCTTATTCTTGGAGAGCTTCAGTCCTGTTGGAGACAAGGAGAGTCTTGTCATTGACTTCAGGGAGAGCAAGTGAAGACCTATGATAATGTCTGAAAACTAATGAATACTGATTAAGCTGATGAAACTTTTTTTTGTGGGAATAATCTTTAAAAAAAGTAGTAGTTTTGTTCTGCAGGAACTCTTACAGTCTGTGTCATATGAAAAAACCAGCAATAGAAGGCAGAAATGTCATGTCATCATTAGGTCTGCATATGTATTAAGTTTTGCAGTTGGACTAAACATCTGTTGGTTGGGTTTTTTTAATTTTTCATAAAATATTGTATCAAGAAAACAATAAAGAGCTGGCTAGTCCAGTTTGGGGCTTCACATTACTGTATTGCATTTCCTTACAGATCACTCCTTTGATTTTCCTGAATTGTATATCATGGGTGCAAAGGTTTTGTGTAGAAAGGCTGGTGCATTGTCTGGATGAGATGAAGTCCATAATTATTTTCTTAGTAGTTTTAAAGTATGTATTTGTACTCCTTTCTCTGCAGCTGTAAATTTTCACTTGCTGGAGCTGGACAGTTAATAAAGTTGTTACCAGAAGCCAAACAATAAGACAACTAAATTAAAATGACAGAGATTTTTTTTAAAGTATGAAGCTGCTACTTCCTCTCAGCTCCTGAAAACAGTTCAAAGTGTGGCAAAACCCAAGAATCATGACGAGTGAACAGTTGTATTAAGCTTTACATCTTCAGTATCTTGCACACAACATATCAACAGTAAGAGATGAATCCATTCAGTTTCTATTATATAAGAGGATAAGTGGTAGTTGAGAATTAAATGCTTGGATTGGGATCCATTTTTCCTTGTTTACTAGTTTGTATTGTTTGGACAAGATTTGATAGTTACTTGGTTTCCATTACCAGATCCAGAGTTTTGTAGAGTTTGAGTTCTTTGCTGTGTTCTTGGATCCAAATCAGCCCAGGTCCTCATTCAAAACAGGCTAAAGGGAGACTTACTTTGTCTCTATCCCACAAGAATAAATGATCTTTTCTTAAGATATACAATCCTGAAGTACTGTATTTACCTGCCCAGGCAAGTGGTATCATACTCTGTAAGGGTCAGTATTGCCTGTTGTATAAACAATTGCTGAAGTGTTTTGTTCCCCTTGGGGAAAAAAAAAGATTGCTACAATTGCATGGCTCATTATTTTATGTCCAGATGTACTTTAAACTTGCTTTGATCACATTGGAAGGGGTTTCCTGGGCAAGCATAAGATGCTGGGGTGAGCATGGCTGCAGTTACTGTAGCAGCTGGGATAAGAGATTCAGGAAGGACACTGAGTGGGCTCAGAGAAGGACCATGTAGTTGGTGAAGGGTATGGAGCACAAGTCTGATGAGGAGCGGCTGAGGGAGCTGGGGGTGTTTAGGCTGAAGGAGGCTCAGAGGTGACTTTATTGCTCTGTACAGCTCCAAAAAGCAGGCAAGTCAGGCTGGCCTCTTCTCCCAGGCAACAGCACCGTACAAGAGGACATGGCCTCAAGCTGCACCAGGGGAGGCTTAGATTGGACATGAAGAAGAATTTGTTCACAGAAAGGGTGATCAGACACTGGAATGAGCTGCCCAGGGAGGTGGTGGGGTCACTGTCCCTGGAGGTGTTTAAAGAATGGAAGAGGCACTCAGTGCCATGGTCTGATTGGCATGGTGGTGTTGGGTCATAAGTTGGACTAGATGATTTCAGAGGTCTTTACCAACCTAACTGATTGTGTGATTCTCTAAGGGAAAACGCAGAACTGAGCTATCAGGTGGGGGGTGCGGTGTGTGCGCCCTGTGCCTCACCGTGCCTCCCTTCGCAGGCAGCCTGCGGGGCGCGGGCCCCTGACCGCTGCCGAGAGGGAAGGGGGGTCGGGGGGTCGCGGAGGCCACAAGGTAGAGGCGCTTCCTTGGGCCGCAGCCCCCGCGCTCCGCCCGCCCGCCGGCGCTGCCCTCAGCGCGGGGCCCGGAGCCTGCGCAGTGCGGCGGGGAGCGGCCTCCCGGCCCTGCCCTGCCCTGCCCGGCCCTGCCCGCCCTGCCCCGTGCCCGCCCGCCCGCGGGGTAACCGCGCCGGGGCCGCTGCCCCGCTCCCCGCGGGGCCTGTGGGCACCGGGGGCCGCGCCGCGACAGCGCCCCGCCCGCGCCCGCATGGGCCTGGCCGAGCCATGGCCGCCCTGTACCAGAGCGCGGACCCGTCCGCCTCGGCCTCGCCGAACAAGCTGCTGGCGCTGAAGGACGTGCGGCAGGTGAAGGAGGAGACCACGCTGGACGAGAAGCTTTTCCTGCTGGCCTGCGACAAAGGTACCGGCCCGGCCTCCCCCCCGCGAGGCCTCGGCCACTCGCCCCGATGGCCCGAGCCCCCCCCGCCCGCCGGCGCCGGGGGTCAGCCCCGCCATGGCCGCGCCTGTTGCCGGGGGCGGCGGGACCCCCGAGCGGGTCCGGCCCCGCCGCCTCCCGCTGTCCCAGAGCCAGCGGCCCCGGCTCCTTCTGCCGGGAAGTAACTCCTGAGGGAGTTCGGTTTGTGCCGGAGGAATTCGTAAGGTATTTATTTGCTGCGTTCGCTGTTAGAAGAGCCTGTGCGTGTGAAGCTGCTGTAAAATCAGGGCTTATCTTAACATCACCGCAATTAGCGCGACCGGTATCCTGCGATTGGTACCCGTGGTTGTGGACGGGCAGAGATTTTCCTTTCTAAAATATGCTTCTTTATGCCTATATTTAGTTACCCTTGAGTAGAAATGTGGTCTTAAATAAAACTGATCTTAACAGGTCTGAAATGTTGAACTCCGAGATTGGCTTTTACTGCTGTGCTGCTCGGCCCTTCGTGCTGGGTTCCCGGGCACGGCTGTGGGGTGTTGACATGTGTGCTGGCCCGGAGTTTAGGTTTGCTCGCACCCGTGGGAGTATTTCTGCGGTGACATCAGCCAGCGAGCTTAGGAACTGTGCTCTGCCCGTGAAGCCTGTCCCGAACATCGGATGAAGCCACAGCTTGCTCTCTTAAGTATAAGCAGGGGTTGAGGGAGCTAAAATGATGCATGACAAAAAATGTAGGAAACCCATTGTCCATATAACAGCTGGTTGAGTACTCTTGATGGCTCTTCTTCATGTATTTTACTCCAGGTAGAAGTATTCTATATATACTTCTGTAAGTATTCTACACTAAGGTCTGTCTTGGTCGTGGTCTTCTATGTTGCAAAATAATTGGTTACCCCAGAGACAGTTTTGAAAGCTACCCATGCTTTTGTGTGTGTTTGGAACTAAGGGCGTAGATGAAGTACATGTCTATTGCTTTCCTGAAAAGACGTAAATCTTTGGTTTTCTACCTGCTTATCTACCTTGACTTCTTGCTTGTCTGTCAGTGTCTTGTTGTCAGCTATGGAATGTTGTCTCATTTGTGGGTAGCTGGTACTTAAAATGTTCACATGCTTTAGGATAATACAGAGTGATACCCATGCGTTACTTGTGCAGGTGACTATTACATGGTTAAGAAACTCCTGGAGGAAAACAGCTCGGGGGAAATGAATATAAATTGTGTGGATGTGCTTGGACGAAATGCTGTTACCATAACCATTGAAAATGAAAACTTGGACATACTACAGCTCCTTTTGGATTACGGCTGCCAGGTATACAACACATTATTGAAAGTTTTCTGTGTAGTCATATATGTGCTCAGTTAATCTGTCAGAATTTGGAAGGGAACACAATCTGCCTTTATAGGCAGTTCAGTTCTTTTTCTATTTAATAATTGCGAAAGTGGGTTTTTTTTTCACAAAAATTTAATGTTCTGTAAGTATATGTAAATGTATAAGTGACATTTTCAATCATATGAACAAGTCTGAATTTTATTTTAAATATTGTTCCTGTTGCAGATAAAATGCACACATTATCTTTAAGCAAAATAAACAGTATATAGTCAGTGCATCATATTAAAAAGTGTAAAATGCAGATATCCCTTTGGCTGTGGAGTATAATAACTTTTTAAATGGTAACACAGAAAAATGGACATTATATTAGCTGATTTTAAGTTAAGGCAAATGTGCATTTCTGCAAGTGCTTTCTTGTTAAAGTTGATCTGTGCTTGATGGCAGAATAGTTCCCTGCAACAATGCTTCCTTAACTGTATGCAGCATCTCTGCTGCTGCTGGGAGAGTGGAAGCTATGATGGCTTAAGTATGTAAGACAGGGAGAAGTAGCATCTCTTACTACATTTTTTGATATTGGGCATGAATAAAACAACAAGCTTTTCTTTTTCTTTTATTTTTTAAAGTGAAAATTTGAATTTTTGAAATTGAATTAAAAAGAATAATATCAATTGAAGGGAAAATGAAAAGCTGATTAGCTCAGCTTAGGAGAAGTTGCAGAAGGAGTTACCAGCCAAGAAGAAAAAACTACTACGAATGCAGGGCTGAAGTATTGCATAGGCCCTAGCTGTGTCACACAGACACTTGCTTTTAATGTTTTTAATACCATAGTAAACTATCCCTTAGAACTTGATTTTTGCAAGTATTCAGCATCGTCTTTGCTGGAAAGCAATTTCTGCAGTTTGTTCTTTTGCTGTTTGTGCAATGAAACAAATTGTCAGTGAGGCTCTGTGAACTCCTGGAATGACAGCCTGCATTTGTATCCTGATCACTGGTGTGGTAATAATGCAGAACATTGTTTTAGTACTTGAAATATAAATTTAAAATAGTATATTAAAAAATGCAGTTTGCCTTGCATTTGACTCTTTATGCTGTTTAAGTTACTGCTTTTCACATATGATTTTTTTCCTTTCCTTAGTCATCGGATGCACTTTTGGTGGCTATTGACTCGGAAGTGGTGGGAGCTGTGGACATTCTGCTTAATCACCGACCCAAAAGATCCTCCAGACCGACCATTGTGGTTGAGTGTTGTTAGTCCTTGATTTTTGGTTGGGGGGTGCAGGCTATCGCATTCTGGGTAGCTGTGGTATTTAAAACAATGTTCTTAAGTTCTGCATCTCTGAGGTGATAAAACCTGGGCACTGAGGATCGTTTTTGTAGCCTAATTTGTCTGAAAGATGGAATACATTGTTTTGCTTTACGGCCTAAGGAATACAGCACCTTTATACCTGCCAGTGCTAATAAGTGCCTAGTTTGGAAGAGAATGAAAACAGTGGTTATAAATCTTTTCTTGTAGCCTGTTTGTGAGCTGGTTAGCAGCCTTGACCTAGAAAGGGTTTATTCATGTATTGAAGCTTCATAGATTTTTCGAGCAAATCTATAAATGTCAGATCTTCACCTTGAAATTAATCACTTGAAACTTAACTTGGCAATGCTTAATTATCAGAGAACTTGTAAAAGTACACAACTAGAGGTGGAGGAAGGGAAGGAATAAGGTATTGTGTGACAGAGTATGGCACATTCGAGATATTTTTTTCTGCACTTAGTAAATAAAATAATTTTTTCTCATATTACAGCAAGATAACTTTTAATGTCACACGTATATTGGAGAAGGTAGGCATTGAATGTCAGATTTTCTGTGTAAATAAATCAGAAACATTTCTGTGTCTGTTTCTCAGTATTTATCTGAGAGGTGTTTGAATGTTTTTGCAAATTTTTCCTTCTTTTTGTGTTATGAAACATTGGAAAGCATTTTGAAGAGCAGATTCACTGTTAAACAGTCATAAAACCCCTTACATGTAAGCACTGTAGAACTGTAGGTAATAAATTTAGGCACTTGCTGTGTTTTATTCCAGAAATTAATGGAACGCATTCAGAACCCAGAGTACTCAACGACCATGGATGTGGCACCAGTCATTTTAGCTGCTCATCGGAACAACTATGAAATTCTCACCATGCTGCTAAAGCAAGATATATCCTTGCCCAAACCTCATGCTGTAGGCTGTGAATGCACACTGTGTACTGCCAAGAACAAAAAAGATAGTCTGCGACATTCCAGGTGAGACTCAGCAGTCATAGTCCCTAATAAAAAAATTCTCAGTCCTCAGGTATTGCTTGGGTCACGTTCACTATGTTTCCTTTTTCTTTTGAAGGTGAAGTTTATCAGTGAATTCCTGTAATACATTGTAGCCCATATTGTGAGAAATGGTAGTTCTTGGGGATGGGTTGTGCTTGAAAAGGCTGGTGGGAGGCAGTGGCTTTTTTTCCATTTTGGTTTTGTACTTAGTCCCTGTGCATCTTAAGCTACATGCCTTTCCTTGCTACCAGTTGTGTCTCAAACATTCTGGCTACCTTTGGCTTGGGAGCATAGGGATTATGCAAATGAAATTTTTCTCAAATTACTTAATACTGGGGGGGGGGCTTGAACCAGAATGAGGAGGTAGATAATTCTGTATCAGGGACTGATGTATGCAAACACTATTTTTTCCTTTTTGCTTCAGTATTTTTAAGAGTAGGAAAGCTTTTTAATAAAGGTTCAGGTGAGGAGAGGGATTTACTAGTCTGGTAAATATTTTGCCTGGTTAACTGGACAACGTGTGAGGGTTGAATAAAATTTGTATGTGAGAGTTGGGATGAAAAATCACAGAGCTCAAAGATCATAAGGGTGCTGCAATTACGATATGCAGTTAATTACTGTGTAATTACTCAGTATGTATGCAAAATACTAAAAAATAAGAGAAGTGAAAACATAATTGTTACTGGTATTTGGCTACTCCAGGCCACATTCTGGTATCCGTGCTATACCCCATGTTGTCATCTTCAGTATGAGAAAAGGTGTCAGGGTATCCCAAGCAGACAAAAAATAGAAACATTTGAGATAGCAGCTCTTAGTTTAAACTAGAACAGATAGCATCCTGTTTTTCAGTGTTCACGAGTCACTCAGTGACACATCCCTTCAAACGCATTCCCTAGGTTTTTTTCTGTGTTGCACATTAAAGCTCCTTATTTCATAGAATCATAGAACCAACCAGATTGGAAAAGACCTCCAAGATCATGAAGTCCAACCCTTGATCCAACAGCGCCGTGGTTACTAGACACATGGCACCAAGTGCCACATCCAGTTTCTGACTTAAAATGTCAGAATTTTACAAATGCTCTTACCTTGACTGATGGCCTTCTGCTGCTGTACTGATAACAGTGACAGTAGTGAGGAAAAGAAGAGGGAACCAGTTTGGCCAATTTTTGGTACTTAAGGGTTCTAAATATGTCATGGAACTGTGTCTTCCATGACATACCACATTTAATGCTTGTAGTGTCTGATTTTAAGAAACCAGATTGTTTTGTCTTTCAGCTGCTTATGCAAACCTTTGGAATAGGTTCTGATTTGAAACTGCTAATGAAGTGAAACACCTTCATTTTGCTTGCTCTCCTATTGTCACAGGTTTCGTCTTGACATTTATCGGTGTTTAGCCAGTCCTGCTTTAATAATGTTGACAGAGGAGGATCCAATCCTACGAGCTTTTGAACTCAGTGCAGACTTGAAAGAATTAAGCCTTGTTGAGGTTGAATTCAGGTAGGAATTGAAAATACAAACCAATTTTAATACTTATGAAATTACATGTACAGAAATGTGTATGCATTAGAAAAGGTTTATTCTTAATTTTTTTTTTAATTGGATTGTTTAAACTGATAAATAGACATAATAACAAGTTATATAATTTATGCCTCACTGGTAGTTATTTTGACGGTTTAATTACTTTGAATTCTTTTAGGTGTAGACAGTTCAATCTGTATAGTTGCACCAACAGTTCAAATTTCAGCTCTACTCTGAAAAACAGAAATTATGCTAAAGGCTGACTTATGTGAAAATCACACACCTATTAATCATATCAGTATCTCACCAGTATTCTGCACTTTTTTTTCCTGTATCAGGATAGAAGTATGCAATAACTTGTTTATACTGATCTGACTCATGTCGAGAGTTGTTTAGAGCATTGTTTCTTAAGTTTGTCCCTTATAAGACTTTGAACAGTGTATGTGTGTGTATATATATATATGAAATATGCATATGTGTGGAGATTTCCTGTTGAAAATGCTCTATTTAATGAACAAATGGTCAGTATAATTTCATGTTTGAACTATGCAGATTTCTACCATTTTGTAACTTACCAGCACAAAAGCTTTCCAAGAATGTGAAAGCAAGTGTTTATATGAGGTAAAATTCTACTTTCCTAAACAATGTGTGAATTTTCTGTATTTTAGCTGCTTGTCTTTCTTAATAAGAGCTCAATTGTTGCATTTTTATGGTACAAGTTGGCACTAAAATGGACTGTGTGCAAGGTGAGAGAAGGAAATCATGTGGTTTCTTTTCCTGTGTTTATTATATTAATACTTAGTATTCAGTGAATAGACTTTAATTTTCAGATTACAGGAATAAAGCAAAACCCAAAACAACTTCCTGTTAAGTGGCAAGTCCAAGTGATTACTTAGCAGTGCCATGTTTTGTGCCTACCACACTTTCTTATCTCCTGGAAATAATTCTAAGCTTTCGTTCTGTATGTGGAACTGATTAGATGAGAATTTGTGCACTGTACGTCTGTTTGTCAGTTTTTCTCTAGTGGTCTTGCAAACTAAACTGAAGTGTAATGGTCATGTCACATGATGAGAACTACTCAGAGTTGTCTTAGGAGTGCTTGGACCTTGACACGTGACTTTTGGGGGGGTTTCTTTTAATTTATCTCAACATAACATACAATCTCAACCAAAACCAGATAATTAATTATTTAACGGATAATATAAGAACAGTGTAATAGTACTTTCTGCTTCTGTGTCTTTCAGAAATGATTATGAGGAGCTCGCTCAACAGTGCAAAACCTTTGCTAAAGATCTGCTTGCACAAGCACGGAATTCCCGGGAGCTGGAAGTGATTCTGAATCACACATCCAGCGATGAACATGTAGACAAGCGAGGATTGTTGGAAGAGAGGATGAACCTAAGCCGCTTAAAACTTGCAATCAAGTATAATCAAAAAGAGGTTTGTCTTTGCAGTAACTTGATAGACTTTCCATATCATATTTTGCTAGTAATTAATTTAATTTGTTGTTGGGCCTCTAGACATAGAAATGGAAATAAATGTGCAGGAGTTATAGAAGAGATCATAATACACAGGGTACCAGCATGTAAAACAGGGAAGTGATGCTGCAAGATACTGAGTGTTTCTTCAGTACTTACTGTGGAGAAGAATGTAGTATTTTCTGTTTTGGAGTATAAACTACTGCTTTTCTATGAACAGCTCTGGTAGTGTAATTATTTGTTCAGATCCTCATTAAATCCTTGCCTAGGGAGGCATGGATCCTTAGGTGCCAAACATGATTTATCATCTTCTCGCTAGTCATTAACTGTTCAGCTTTGTTTCAGCCTTGCTGGAGCTGTTCAGTAATTAAGTTGGACCTGTGCTGGTATAACTGAATAGTGCCTCTGTTCCAGAATAGCAGTGCTTTTTATGCCATCAGTATGCAACTTATGTCATGCAGTAGATTATTGTCATCTTTGTCCCTTGACAAATTATAACTCTAGTTTTCTGTGCTAGAAGGCAAATGGGTGTTTGTGGGATTCCTAGTACAAGGATCAAGGGCAGAAAGTTTGCTTTCCATGCAAAATCAATTTTTAGTTAGCATTTGCAGAAGGAGATATAATTCTGTCTGTTCTACTTGTCTGGTTTTAAACTGTTTGTGAAACTGTTGAAACACATGGTGTTTAAAAGGCATAAGCCATAGTTATGGAATGCCCTAGAAGCAGCATTACATATTTCTGGTGTGCATTCAACAAGCACACGGAAGGGTTTCAGGTGTTCTTCTGGGTTTGAGGATAGCTTGTTTTTACCACAGTACTTAGAAAATAACAACTTTTTTGTGTGGTATGAGGAAAATATCTGCAGAATGTGCTTTATTCCTGGCAAGTTTACTGTAGAGACAGTTTTTATGATGCTTTATAGAATATGATGATAACAGCGAGGTTCTTTTTTGATTAAATGACAGACCATTCTCTGATGAAATACATTGTTTTGTAACTCATACAGATAAGCATCTGAAATTTGAAACTATATTTGCATAATATACATAACTTTCAGGACAAACTTGCCTTTTTTTGAGGGATTGATATGTATAATTTACTCTGATGTAAAATTAACCCTGCTGAATAGAGCCATAGTGATTTTAAGAACTCATATGTATAAAACTGCTTGACCACTTTGGTCCTTATCTTACAATGTGTTGTGTTTTACGTTGTACATAGTATTCAACAATAACAGTATCTTATTCTTCAGTTAAGATCACTATATTTTATAGTAACACAGAGTGGAGCTGTCTGAGGTATGATGTTATTTATCTGCTAGATTTCTAAATTATTAGAAATCAAAATTCTTAACCTAAAACTCATTGACAGTCTAGTGTGTATAATTTATGTTTAGTTGCTGACTCTAAAAGGAAATTAGAATAATGGCTGGTTTTATGCATAGTGGTTCCATATTGCTTTGGTATCTTACGAGATAATTATTTCAAGTTGATATTCTTGCCTTTTCTTGTTAATTGGTATCTACACATTTGAAAGTTTGAAAATTAATGATGTAAATTAGTAATGTGTATTAAGAAACCTGAGACTGGTTTCTTGTTTGTTTCTCCCCCCCAGTTTGTTGCCCAGTCCAACTGTCAGCAGTTCCTGAACACGGTGTGGTTCGGGCAGATGGCCGGCTATCGCCGCAAGCACACCTGCAAGAAGATCTTGACTGTTTTGATGGTTGGCATTTTCTGGCCAGTTCTGTCCCTGTGTTATTTGTTAGCTCCTAAATCTCGAGTTGGTCGAATGATTCACACTCCTTTTATGAAGTTTATTATTCATGGAGCTTCATATTTCACGTTTCTCTTATTACTCAATTTGTACTCCCTTGTCTACAATGAGAATAAGAAGAATACAATGGGACCAGCCCTTGAGAGAATAGACTATCTTCTGATAATCTGGCTAATTGGTAGGTGTGATTTGAGTGCATTGGACGGTAATTGCTGATGTTGATGGCACAGTAATGACTTGTGTAACCTTCTTAGGAAACCAGCATGATATTCATGTTGTATATGTTTATGTTTGCATGCATACCTCATCTTAGTCTAATTAATTGAAGGTGTGCATTTACCTCATCTTGTTATAAAACACAGAAACAAGTAGTATTTTCTCAAGGTATGGTTTTCCATTTCTGAATGTCATTGCCACTGATTATCATAACTAGTGGAAAGACTGCATGTCAGTTCTGGTTGATGCAGCAGAGGGAGCACAGGTATCATTTTTGTTCAGTTCTCAGGAACTTTCGGTTGAAAATTCATAAAACCTTTTACAGTGTTTTTGGTTGGATGGCATGTGTTTGTTTTTACATTAAAATTTACCGTAATGTGATGATTAGATGTGTATCATTTATTTGACCAGACTCATAAGAAGCAATGACGTGGTAAAAAAAAAACCAAAGTTTTTATCTAAGTAGTTCTGGGTGATTTATTTGATATTTTAGGGTGGGTTTTTTTGTGTAATGGTGGTTCCTTTCACTGTTGAGCTGTATGAAAAACGTTGAGTAGTTCATGCCGATTTTGGAAATACTCAGTACCACCCCCCCCCCAAAAAAAACCACAGACAGGTCTTAAGACTTGAAAACTTCAACTTTTGAATGCAAAACAGATTCCTTTTTGCTTTGAGATTAAATATCTGGGTTTAGAAATTATTTTGTTCCATGAAATCTACTGTAGATGAAGTGTGTCCTTAGGTGGTCTTGGCTATAAACATTTTATTTTCTTCATGTAGTAGTCTAATGTGGATTTCAATTAAGATTGAAATATGACCTCTAAGTAACATAATCATTAAAATTGGGTTATTTTTCATATTACTGAATCTTAACAGATTTTTTACATAGTAATTGCATTTATAGCTTAAATGCTTATTTTGTAATGGCATATTGTACTTATTCCTTACAAATATTCAGTAAGTTGAAAAATAATGTATTTAGAAAATGTCTTACAAAATCAACTGGAATAAAAAGAACCAAGTAACAAGGATTCACCATATTCCATTTTCCATATCATATTCCATAGTTCCATTAAAATGCATTCTAAAAATCACTGTCAAAATGGCCACAGCAGAATTTCTAACACATAAAGTTGGTAGCAGGTTTTGTATTCTTCTAGGTTAACTTTCAAAATCAGGAATAAAGTAATTTTCTAATTTATTGAGCATAAATCATACAAATGTCTTCCACAGGAAAATAAAGCAACAGAACTCCAGTTCTTGTGTGTGTAAATAACATCAACTGTAGCATCTTCTCCATCTCCTTTTACTGATTCTGTAACAAATTCACTGTAAAATACATCACGATTGTATGTGAAAGAATATCTGTTCACTACAATGGCTTCACTTCCCTGGGTTTTCTATTTTTCCTGCAGGAATGGTGTGGTCAGATGTTAAGAGACTCTGGTATGAGGGTTTAGAAGATTTTTTAGAAGAATCCCGTAATCAGCTTAGTTTTGTCATGAATTCCCTGTATTTGGCAACTTTTGCCCTCAAGGTCGTTGCCCATAACAAGGTGAGCACTCGTCTTCATAGATCGTTTGTCTGAGCACATGTGACTGTAGTGCAGAGCTGCACAGTGCAGGAAGATGTGTTACACGTGGGGTGTTGGCAGCAGTAGGTTGTGGTGAAGGGCACAACATTAATAACAGCCCTACTATTTGGGTACAGCTTAGGCTGTGGGGTTAAATGTTCTATGGGGTATATGCCATGTAGTTGTCAAGACCTCAGGTCTTGTTGCGTCTTGAAGAGGACTTGATGAGGCAGATAGGAGTTAGAAAACACCTCAAGACATGTCCAACTACTTGGAGACCTCAAACAGAGCTACTGTCTTCCTTGTAAGAACTAGCTGGTCTTCCATCCATTTCACCTGATGTGGCATTTGAGCTTGCCTGAGTCCCTAGTACCATACAGAAAGCTAATAGTAATCTCTGTGTTTGGATTGCCTAAAGCTATTTTGTTACAGAAAGTTTTATTTAGCTTTTGATTACATATACTCAAATGTCCTAAGTGGTTGTGGGGGGATTTTTAATTGGTTTTTGGCTTGGTGGGGTTGTTTTGGTTGGAGTTTTTTATGGTAGTAAGGATAAAAGCCCTGAGACCATAGAGGAGCCTTGTCTTTTCTCTATGAAAAGCCATCTGGATTTGGTTGAAGATGTGAGTTTTGCAGACCATCATTGCCATTCTGTTGCATGTGTTGTTTGCCACACAGCATATGGCAAGCTGCCAGACCAATTGAATGTGACTATTATAGCAAAATTCAAGCCAGTGCAGTAGCACCATTATTTTGTCTTGCAAACTGTAAGTTGACAGCTGTCTGGCAGTTGGGAGGGAAATAAACTGGTTTAGTTCTTCCCAACTTGGTGTTTGGCTCATTTCCCTATCCTTGGATTGATTCAGAGGCTGGTAATCACTTGGAAAGGAAGGCTCCATTTCTTGGAAAAAAACTTGAGGGAGAATGCCATGTTGGGCTGCCTTCCCAGCCATTTGCTTTGCAACCAGCATGTCTGTAGTAGCAGTTCTTTGCTAAGATAAGAGCCCTTTGCTGCTAATTTAAGTTGTAACCTTTGGGAAGATGCAGGACTCCTGTCCTATGTAACAGGCACATAATGGGTTTTTTGCCACTGTTATATGACAAAATTTATTTTTATGGTTTATAAATCATTTAGGTATCCAAATAAAAATGTTTGTCTTACATCTTGGGTCCATGTTATAGGCACTTAAGCTGTAAGAAGTAAAGGAAGAGTCTCTGTAGCAGGAGGATTTGTACATATGCAAATGCAATGTATAAAAACATGTTTATCCCTATTTCTTGCCATCTTTGTGCAGCAGACTTTTGGGCAAGTTATTTTAAAGCAGCTTTGAGTTCCTTAGGTTTTGAATGTCGATTTTGAGGCAGCAGGAACTGGTAATATAAATGCTGAGTGTTTTCAGCCAAGCCGAAAGTTGGGATCTGTGGATATTCCATGAATAAGTTGAATAGTAGTACCTAGTGGATAGTACTTGAAGGGTGTGTTTACATCAACAGTTTATTTGTGACTTCCATTCTCTGTAGCCATTCACAAAATCTGTTGAAGGAACCCCAAGTCATAAGTGTTTCTAAAGCTGGTTAAGGTCAGCTGTCACTGTGTGTGTGTGTGTGTGTGTGTTGGTTTTCTTTACACCATCTTAATGTTATTTTTGACTGAGGCCTGTTATATACATATTGCACATGTTTATGAAGTACATGAGTCCCTGTTTCAACAAAACATGCAAAACAGAGGAATAAATGATTTCAACAAATGAGTGGCAGAGTTAGGTGTTGAATTTAAATTGTCTGATTTCTGGCTCCCTCTGGAATGCCTTTTAAACTGCCTTTGTCTAAAAAGAGTGAAATTTCTGAAAGAGGTGAGGCATCTATGAATGATATATGTTAATTTCTTTTATGCTCTTGCCTGTTTTGGAGGCAGAAGTAGGGAGTGGTGCATGGCTGCATTTCTGTCTTTGTAATGTCACTGATCTCTGTCCTTTTTATGTTTCAGTTCCATGACTATGCTGAAAGGAAGGACTGGGATGCATTCCATCCTACCCTAGTAGCAGAAGGACTTTTTGCTTTTGCTAATGTTCTTAGTTACCTGCGTCTCTTCTTTATGTACACAACCAGCTCTATTCTGGGACCACTCCAGGTGAGTATCATTTCTGCCTGAGAAAATATTAAACCTAATTTGCCATCAAGAGTCTTATTGAGAATATGAAAAAAAGTTAAGTAAGAAAGTGAAAAGTAGAAGTGATACTGCATTGAAGTTTGATTTTTTTTTCCAATCTCTCATGTAGAACATGATCGAGGAAAAGGTAAGAAAAAGAGTGAAAGACCTTGTGTGGTTCACTTTCTTATGGTATTTTTCCATGATAACTGTACCTATAGTGTCTTTTTGTTTTCATCTGTTTTTATCTGTGATCTCATTGAAGCTGCATGTTGAGTTGTGCACATTGCTTTTGTTTGAAAAATATAAATCTCTCAAGAGTATTGAAATAATCATCTATTTATTGGCAGTTATAAAAAGGGAGAACAGGTTTCTTACAAATTCTTACTTGGAATTTGCTGGAGCCTTCCCGTGAGTAATGATGAGAGTAAAAACCCCCACATTTCAATGACATAATTTTCTGTTATACATTTTAGGTGGAAATGTACTTGCATACTTTGAAAAAAATACTAAAGTCTTGATGTTGCATTAAGCATTAGGCTTGTTGTACAAATTGATTGAACGCTGAAGTCTCTCCACATTTTAAAGAGATTCACTGTTTTATGTGTATATTTATTTATGTACTAGAACTTGCACAAGTTTTTATTAGGAGACTCTGTTATGAAATTCTCCAAGTAAATAAAAACAGTCAACAGTGCCCCATTCAGAGGCACACAGGAGCTTATGTTATTACTGTTGGCCAGTAGGGCTGGTGCAACAACTCCTACAGTATTTTCTGAAAGTAGGTCACAAAGTTCAAATGGTGGTAATCAAATATGGCATGGAAACCCAGCAGTGGGGGTGGGGGAAGGCAGCTACCATGGTCTCTTGGCTATTAGAGTTATTTTTAAGCATTCAGTTACTTGACTCATTGGTTAGTAAAACCTATTATAATACAGATTTGTAAGTTGGCTGTGTGTGGTGGTTTTTTATTATTAACAGAAGGTAGAATAATATTCCTCTAGATTAGATAATTAGATTTCAGATGCTTAGAAATTGTGAATGCTTAGAGAGGGCAAGCATGAATATATGAAGAAAGCAACTGGCATTTGGGATGGGTTATTACACTCTGTTCCAAACAAAATAGTTTTGGGTGGTTTGCACTTCTTATGTGTTCTGTTTCATCTACTGTGTCTCTCTCTTGACTGGGACCATGTGTCAGTTAAAGGGTAAATGTTTTGTTGTTGGGATTTGGGTTGGGTTATTTTCCATTAAAGGCTTAGATGTGATGAAAAATAGGATGGGGATGACAGTCATCCTGACTAATGTGCATATAATTGGTGCACAGCTCTACTACAGTTGCAGAGTCTCCCTGACTGTGACAAACTGTACTGACTCAGGGTATTCTGTGCTGCAGGGGGTACTCAGAGAGTTCCCAGCAGCATGAGAGGGAGCAGGAGCAGGAGTTCATCTCCCAGTGAAGTTGTACTTGCAAAACCTGAGCAGTGTTACAGTTCAGGACTATGATTTGGTACAGGTTTTGATTCATACAGGATTAGGCTTTCCACGTGCCGATTTATATAGAAGATTACATTGACCCAATCCCTTTTTACATATTTGCATTCTTTATGATGATATATTGTTCTCAAGAAATTCTTAGGAGCAGTAATTAAATTATATAAACAGTTTATGCTGTGTCTGTGTAAAAATTTATCCTTATGTCAAAAGCAAGGTCTTTTCTGTGTTGGAGAAAGGCATAAGCATATATTGTAACTTTTTTTAAAGATGCTGTTGTACTAATGTTGCAGAGTTCTGTATAGGATATTTTGAATTGGAAACTAATGATCAGAATTTACTGCCATACATTCTATACTTTATCCTTCAGTTTTTATGTGCTTACACACACATGTTTATTTAAAATCTTACATGAAATGTACAGTAAATTAATACTGTATTCTGCAGATGGGCTTTGGTATACTACTTTTAAAAATTTTTTTTATTAGCGATGAATTATGATTCCAAATGTTTTGATTAATTCAATGTCCTTATAAGTATTTTCTTAGCTTTCTATGGTGGCATTTATGTTCACATGCATTTCATTTACTGCTTTTGTCTGTTAACTTATGAGTTCCTTACTACCATTGGTACTGCAGATAAATACTAAAGTCTAAATACCATTGCTTATGGTTATGTGTAGGATATTAACTTATCAGGTGATGTTAAAACTACTTACATTTTCTTTTTAGTATCTAGAATTTTAGTTTGAAAAACAGTACAAGGATATCTCCTGATTTTGAGACCTGTTTAGCATGTGAAAATTCAACTTAAATATTTAAAATGTAAATAGATTTTTTTTTTTTGCTGATTAGAGGCTGAAGGAGAGAATACAAATAATAACTACATGTTTTACTAAAATAGGAAATAAATCTATTTCACAGATTTCAATGGGGCAGATGCTGCAAGATTTTGGAAAATTTCTGGGCATGTTTCTTCTTGTCTTGTTCTCATTCACAATTGGATTGACACAACTTTATGATAAAGGATTTACTGTAAATGAAGAAAAGGACTGTGCGGGTATTTTCTGTGAACAACAGAGCAATGACACATTTCATTCGTGAGTCTGATATCTATAAAATAGCTGATTGTTTTAGCCCTTACTCTTTAGTAATTAAACAAAATTGGAATTTTTCAATGAACTTGAATTTTACATTAAAAGCTTTTGGTGTTTGCTTTCCCTAACCCGATTTTTGTTTTTCTTGGTTTTGCAGGTTCATTGGCACATGTTTTGCTCTGTTCTGGTACATATTCTCCCTGGCACATGTAGCAATTTTTGTCACACGTTTCAGCTATGGTGAAGAATTACAGTCTTTTGTGGGGGCTGTTATTGTTGGTACCTACAACGTGGTGGTTGTGATAGTGTTAACTAAACTCCTTGTGGCAATGCTTCATAAAAGTTTTCAGCTGATAGCAGTAAGTGGTTTCTGATTGATTTCTAATAACTGTATGTTTGGATTTGTACAAATTTCTTCCTGTGATGTTTAGATTAATCTATAGACCTTCATGGCTGAGCTCTGTCAGTGAGCTCACAAGGCTCATCTTTCCTTCAAATAAGAATTTTTTATTTATTTTGATCCAAATAAAATGGGTACTTTGCATGTTGAATGTGTACAGGGCTTTGGCCCGCTGGGAATTGATGACTTTCTTGATACAGTGGCTGTTCAGGATGCTGTTCTTGATATGTGTGGTGCTTTGGCATTTGATAAGGGGGTTATACCTTCATGGCTGAATTTTGTACTTACATAGAGTATATAGTGAATTAAAGAGAGTGTACTTATTTTATGTCTTTAATATTATAATATTAAAACAAGCTTATTAAAATACTATGTAACCTATATCTTAAAATGCTATATAACCAAAATTAAATTATGGTCAGTTTACAGGTATGAGAAAATAAAACTTATATCCTGTTAATATTTTTGCTTCTTTTCTCTGTTAATGTTTGTGATGCTTTAGAATCATGAAGACAAGGAGTGGAAGTTTGCCCGTGCCAAGCTCTGGCTCAGCTACTTTGATGACAAATGCACGCTCCCCCCACCTTTCAATGTCATCCCCTCTCCCAAGACTATCTGTTACCTCTTCAACAGTCTCAGTAAATGGATCTGCTCTCATACATCAAGTGGCAAAGTGAAACGTCAGAACAGCCTTAAGGTAAGGAATGACTGGGAAAGCTCCAGGCTCTGAAGCTGGAGAGGTCCTGCTTGCTAAAATGAAATGTCATAAGGTGAACGCTGCTAAGATTAACACCAACTACAGAATAATATGTATTGCATCTGAAATATAAATAAGTGGTACCTATTTCTGCTTAAGTAAAGTTCTAATAACTTTCTGGTTTGGGAATTTCAACCCCCTTCCCTCCAATCTCCAGTTCCCCCAGAAATAGTCTGGAAAAAAATGCTTTGATTGAATGAAAACACATAGAAACCTCAGGGAAGTATGTGCTAATCTCAAAAATGGTGAGGTTAGAGTATTCTTTGGGGAAGGTAATTGGTTTTAAACACATTACAGAAGTGTCAAAATAAATAACCAAAAACGATCACTGAAGCCTTTCGTTGTTGGGGGGAGGAATTTTTTTTTTTTTCTTAAATAAACGTTTTTTTGTACCCTGTAATTTTGCATACTAATTTTGCATCTTCTTGCTGACAAAAATAGCATTAAATAACCAAATAAAAAACTTCATGGAATTTGCACTGAGAGACATTCTGGACTATGGAACCTCTTAATAGCTCATAGGACAATTACCAAGACAGGTAGATAAAAAAATTTTCAGTTTTGACGGTACAGCAGATAATAATTTAAATTTTGCAGGCAATTTAGATGCATTGTATGTTTGTGCACATCAGCATGTATTTATAAAATAGCTTTGTTATTTTGTTCATATTTATTCTCTGTATAGTTGTGTATAGGCTTTAGGCTCAAAGTTCACTTTTCCACAGTAAATGTGTGATATTTGTTTAAAGGAATGGAGAAATCTGAAGCAAAAGAGAGATGAGAATTACCAAAAGGTGATGTGTTGCTTAGTCCACCGTTACTTGACTTCCATGAGACAGAAGATGCAAAGTACGGATCAGGCAACTGTGGAAAACCTCAACGAACTGCGGCAAGACCTGTCGAAATTCCGCAATGAAATGAGAGACCTGCTTGGCTTCCGAACTTCTAAATACGCCATGTTTTATCCAAGAAACTAAGGCCTAGCTTATAAACAAGAAGTGTGTACTTTCAGATACCTGTAGGTAAAGTGTTGCCCTAATTCTGTTGCCAGATCATATCAACAAGATATTGCACAAAAATACATTTCAAAATGCATTTGCATGAGTCGCAGCTACAGCAAAGTGATTGGAATAAATGCAAAACCAGATATAGTGATTTTCTTAGGCTTTCAGTGTGTATATAAAATTTGTATATAGGAGTTTTTTAAATGTTCCCCAGAGTGTGGTTGTCAGGTGTCAGAGCTTCTTAACTAGCACAACGTCTTTCTTTCTTCTATTTTTGCTGTTTGTTCTTTTTTGATACTTGTTTTTCAAGTTGTGGGGGAAGATAGGCTTTTTAAACAAAAATCCAGCCTATGTTTATTTTTAATAGAAAAGTCAGATATAGAATAATAGAAAATTTCCAGCACAGTTGGAAATTATGTTTGACTGTAGGTTACAGTGCATGGGAAGACTGTATGGCTCTGAAAGAGGCAGTTCTAGTTTTGTATGTTAACCTTGACTGTAAACTAACATTTATAGAATACAGCACATCAAATCATGAAGATTCTTCCCTTTCATGGGAACACTGACATTTTGAACACAAAATAGACCAACTATTTCTTGAATGTTTATGGTTATATGTAAGACAATCAATTCCTACTTGGATTTTTCAGCAGTGCCTCAATAGTACATTTTAATATATGTGCTAAGATTGGGAACAGAATTTTAAAACTAACCTGTGCACATTTAATGTTTGATGTCTTGGGGTTTTAAAATCTGGATAATAAATTATTTGAATTATTAAAACCTGTCATTTAATGAAAGTGAGGTGGAGCACATGAGTGCTGTTGTTTGCAGTGCTGAATAATTCCTGTGAAACATTCTACGCTTGTTTCTGTGAGATCATCAAGTCTGGTCATTGGAGAGATGTACTTTAGAATGGTCTGCTTAACACAGGTTTTACATATCCTACTTTTAAACTTTTTTTTCTTTTTTCCTGTTTTTTACCACAATTGTTGCCAAGCTAGAATTCAGTTTGTGTCAGGAATACTATGTTTTGTGAAAACATGTGATCTGACTTTGCTTACAATGGACAGTAAGGGCTTTGTGGATTTTCTGTGCAAGAGGGTCCTTTATATGCTTATATATATATTATTCAAGCTGGCAAATTGTAATTGAGAAATGTGAGATTCCTGTATTTTTAATTACAAAATAAGTATATTTATGACAGCTAAAGGGTTGACTGACAATTTTGTTGTTACGATGGTGCTGTTCTACAATGGTTGTATGGCTGGAAGGTGCAGGCAGCCAGAGTGGTCTTTGACTGCAGTAGATTTGGGGAGATTGATGGAGTGGAGGCTCACACGAATGTTTACTTTTTTGAAGGAATTCTTATAAAACTTTTTCTTGTAAAGGTAATATATTTTCTGTACTATGACATTATGTATTTCTGAACCAGGTTTTAATACTCTGCTTCCAGAAATGTTACAGTCTAGAGGGATTCTGATACTTGATTTCATGTGAATAGGAAGTTAACCTCTTGGTTCAAAGCAAAGAGGATCACTGAGTTTTGTATTTGGACTCAGATCTCATGTTTGGATAATGCACCAACATAAAATCTATGTGCTGTCTGTGTTACATAGATCCAAAAAAGGAAGCAGACAAATAAAAGCTCTTTGAAAAATGTGGTTGTATTAATATTAGTCATATTGCAAACACAATATATCAGGTACCACATTGAAGGTAATTTGTCATGTCAAGGTAGTAAGTTTAAGGAAGGTAGCTGGTGTCAGTGTGTTACTGCCTTTTTTCCTCCTGGACCCATCCTGTTTGGTTCATTGAAATGGCATCATCCAGTGCCATGAAGAGATGCTTGAGCTGGTTCTAGACTAGCTAGGCTGGATCCTAGGACCATTATTAGCTGTTTGGCACCGGGCTCGCGCTGGTTGGTTGTGGGAAGCTGGTTATGTTGAGAGTATGAATGAAGGAGCTGATGGACTGACTGCTTTTCAGATGTTCAGCAGAGTCACTCAGAGCCAGCTTGGTCATTGTCCTGTGGCACAGTGTCCTACATCAGTGTGGATGTCCTTAGGAAGAACTGTTGTACTTCAAGGCTCTTTTGGGGTGTTTGGCTGGGAACTAGGGGTCCTGGAGTTTTTATTTGTCACTGAAACACATACCTGTAAAGTGATGGGGACCAGAGAGAGAAGTTTGTTCTCTGTTATACCTTAGTTACATAACATTTTGCATCTGTTTTGTTTGAAAGCCGTTGTAGTCTTCCTGTCTGCTTGGCTGCTAATCAGTACAGAGTGCTAGTTACCCAATCTTGTCTCATTTAGATTTTCCAAGTTTATGTGTGTTAAACATTCTATTGCTTTCTTATTTGGCAGTTTAATACTGGCTGTTCCAGTATTGTTGGGGATCCAAGCTCTCCTTTATGCCCACTCACAGAATAGTTCTGGACATGCAGAGAAACAAAATTTTAGATGTCACAAAAAAAATTTGGAGAAGCTGGAGTTTACTTGGCTGTAGGATTCAGAATGTTCTTGTGCAAATGTTAGTGCCAGTCATAAAAGTACTGAATTGGTTTTTTAAGCTGAAAAGGGTCGATCTTTCTTCCCTTTCATATTAATGTGTGTTTTGTCTTAAAGCTAACTTTGCCTTGATGAATGAAAAATGGAGATGGAAATTTTCATGCCACCTGTATTTGCAACAGAAAGGCCAAAACCACTCATTACTGAAAGGAAAAGCTTATTTTATGTTCTTACTAAACTGTAATTTCATCTGTGTAGAAATTATTTCAGAAATGGTATTGTGGTTAGATAATTTTGTTCCTGTTTGGTTGCAGGTTGGGTTTCAAATGTTCGAAGTTTAGTCACTACAACCTGCTTTCAAAAACTTGAAATAGTTGTTACCTGTGTTTTGTAACCAACTCATACTTGATAAAACTGGCAGTGCTCCGTGTTTCCTGTTCCCTGTTTCAGGCCTACTGCTGCCAGTGCCTTGATTTGGAAAAGGAACTGGTCTAAAGGGAGTGTTGAGAAGAGCATGCAGGAGCTTTCCTTACCTACCATTTGGTAGACGAGGAATAGGCTGCCAAACCCTTCTTGCCTCACTGGAAAAAGCTGCCTGACAGATGGGCATGTCATCATAAATAAAAATAGATTATTGTAGTTCAGGGTAGTTCTGAGCATGATTTCCACGTTGCTCCTCCCCAGGCTGCTGCCAAGAAATGTAGAGAGCACTGTGCATAAAACCCCTTAACCTGCATAGGAATCAATGCTGGAAAATTAAAATTTCAATTTAAAAGTTACAAAACTCCACCTGCTTTGCAAACAAGTGTTGCTGTCGGTTTCACAAAGAAATGCTTTTGGTTTGGTCAGTCAGGCAATCTGAAGTGGGGTTGCAGCACTGAGCTGTGGGATGTGAGCTGCCAGCACAGGCTCTTTGTACCTCTGTGCCTCCCTCTGGTCCTTTTGTCTCCTGCCCAGCTACCCATAAAGTCCTTGGAACAGACGCTGCTGCACTACTGAGCTGCACCATGGCCGTGTCTCTTGGCATTACATGTGGGAATCCATAATGGAAGAGAATGGTAATCTGCATTCCACTGCTGAAATAAGCAATGGGGACTTCCAACAGGGACTGTGTATTCCATTAGTTTTCCTGCCCATGGTTGCAAATTATCGAAAGAACTCTGGTCTGGTATTTCTATACAAGGAAAACAAGTACTTAAAGGGATTTTGGATTCTTTTCCATCCATGTTGTTCTTATTAGTATTCAGGTTTTCCTAGTTTGAACAGATATTTCATATCTGCTTTTGACAACAATGTTCTTCAATTTCTCAGTATTAATCTTTACTTGTAATCTGTTCCTGTTCCTCCACAGAAGATTACAGATTTGATTATAACCTTTCAGAGTAACAAATAACTGCATAAAACAGGCCAACAAAGACACTGTAACACTGTCTAACTGCTTCCAGTCTGCTCACTGTTTAGTCTCCAAATAGCTATTTGTTCAACCTTTTGCATATAGGCATGAAATAAATTAGACAGATATGCTCCTATTTACGCTGCTGGTGCCAGACTGAGCACTGCTGTATTGTCTGTCTTTCATGGGAGAGATGAAAACTTACACTATTTGCATGTGTACTTTACCACCACTAAATTAATTCCTACCTTCCTCCTCCCTAATTACCTTACAGAACTTATTAGTGACATTTACTAACTAGACAGTCATCAGTGTGAAAAGCATGGTGCTGTTTTACAGTTCTCTAAGTCTTTGAAGAGTAAATCCAGTTCTTGTTCAAATCAATGATTCACTGACTTCCCTGTAAGGAAAATCAGGTCCTTAATCAGCAAGGAAGTGTCAGTCAGACTGTGCAGGACCCAAACCATCAAAAGCATGTAAATTATCAAAAAAGAGCTTCTATGTTTAGCCGGCCCCCCCGATAAATAATTAATAACTAGTTGGTGTATGATTTAATCTTAAAATATTTTATTAAGCACAAGTAATAATGCAGAAATCCATGTAATAAAAAAACTTTAGAGAAAAAGCAAAGTTAAAATCAGTTGCTATAAATATTGCACTTAGAATTTTTATTTTACATACACAACTCCTTAAAAAAATTGGACAATTATAAGTTAACATCTTCCAAGTAAGTGGAATTTGTATGTTTGAGATCAGATGGCTATGCTGCAAATCTTCAGCATTAAGACTCAGGAGGATCTGTTCTCATCCTGTACCTGTAATGGATTTCACTTTGTGCCAGCTGTGCTTGGGTGGATGGGAGGAAAGGAAGGGTCAGCGTGGTCTTACTGTTGACAGTCAGTTGCATTTTCATGACTTACACTAAGTGAAAATTATTTTTCAAGACAGATGAGAGAATGCAGCTGTAGAATTCAGTTTTAACACGTTTTGTTTTTCAAGGCATTTAGCATCTTTGAGTTCTTAGCCTTAAAACTCATAACAAAGCTGTTGGGAAAGACTTTGCCTCTACCATCTTCTTCTACTTGGCCCATGATGATGTAGTTTAAACCTACAAAGGAGAGAATGAGATTACAAGACAGAAATCTGGGATGCCACTTGGTAAGTACAGTTCCTTACCTGTGGTCTCTGTTCATTTGAACTGTTCATTTTTTTTCAATGCCTTCTAACATTTTTCCTTCTACCTAAAGCAAATACTTCCTTACCAATCTTTGCCATGCTTGTTATGCCATAAAGTACAGTTAGGCACAAATCAAGTAGACACATAGCTAACTAATATATAACAATCATTAAATATATAGGGGATAGTCATTAAATGTAGACTGTCAAAGAGTCTGAAAGGCATTAGAAGAGCAGGATAAACACTAGATAATTTAGGCACCAACACCCAGAGTGGAATGGGTCTCATTCATTTCAGTATTTGCACACTTGCTCAGATTGTATGTTAGTGGCCATAAGAGATAGTGCACTTAAATCTTTGCATTCCCTTTTCCTCCCCAAAGACAGAAACATTTTCTAGATACATAGAGAGGCAGTCAGGCAAGCAAGGTGGACTCAGTGTGTGACAGAACCTGGCTTTGGAGAAATCGAGTGGATTTGCATATTTTTATGGCTCAGAAGGGTTAGGGGTTTGCAAGGCCTTAGGCTGGAAGGATTTGTGTCATAGGGATATAAACAGGGAAGTTTAGATATTAAGTAAAGGCCATTAAATAATTCATAGATATTTAGGATGAGAAACACAAGTATGTGGTTTGGAGCCAGGAGTCTGTGTAAAAGGAGACAGCTGGTTCCACCCAGGACATTATTATGTCTCCCAATGTCTAGTTTCCAGATAACTACAGGCAAAAGCTAGTTTCTGATTGTGATTTTTCACTTTGTTACTGCCCATCTTGAATTAATATGCTTAAACACCGGTACTATCTGGAACACTATCAGGGGTTTTTTAATGCTTATTGAATTATTTTGAATGTTTCCTGCTATGGTTCCATTTATGTAAAAACAAAATCTATTTGAGCTTCATTTGAGAGAACCAAATCAGATTTTACCTTGTATCCCATGGCTTTTAAAGAAAAAAAAGGTTTTTTGAACTCCTTTGATCTAAGTAAGCCTAATCCTTTTTAAGTAAAACTAAAAAATGCAGCAGAAACCTGGATTACTGGTTATTTTTAGCTTACATTGATTATTTTACTGATTATAGAAAAATTTACTGTAATTTTACTAATTTTTGTGGCCATATTTCGAAAAGTAGTTTTCAAAATTGCTGTCTTTTATAAAGACACAAAGCAGTTATTGTTATGCACTTACCTCTCCTGATGAGAGGACACTGCTTACATACAACAAGAATCTTGGCACTCATATTCTTGCCAGCTTGTTGAATTGCTAAATTCCCCTCCTTATAGACATTAATGATGGCTATTGTTGCATGCAGGCTGCCAGCCCGGGTTATCGTTGTGATTACAGTTCCAGTTATGACTAGGAAAGAAGATGTTTGATACATGTGATACATTTATATTTTAGACATAAATTTTCTGGCATCATAAAACTTAGTAAGTTTATTAGTCCCTAATAAGGAAATAATACTGGCAACAGTTACTAAAAACATTCATATCACCTGTAATAAATAACCCACTACTGTCAAATTTTGGTGGCATCAATAATGAAATTGTTGTAAGAATGTGCCAGTCTCTTGCAAGCCCAGTTCTTGGGTTTGATAATTTCAGTTAAACAGTTCAACTTTATCCTCCTTTAATGACAAATTTTAAAACAGTGGAGAAGTTGAATTGAAAGTGTTCCTCAAATCTCATGGGGTTAGCAATGTAAGTCAGAAGAGTATGGTTAAAGTGAAAAAAACAAAGGGGGTGGGGGGAGTTTTCCCATCAGATTGTTAGGGATTTTATAGGGGATTAAAAAAAGTTTCCAGTATTAATATGGGAAAACACTCTGACACATAACTGAAGAGCCCAGCAGTGATGATGCCATCCTAATGCACAGCAGACACCGCTTTTCCTGAGTGATTTGTGTCTGTACATACAGCAGTGCACGTGAGCTTCCATGACTTCTTTTAAAAATTCTTTGGAAGTGTATCCAGTGAATTGTGGCACAGTCAGCAGGTGCAGCATAATGTGTATTGGCTGGTTACAGACACATGAGCTGACAATACAGTAACTGAATCCATACTTCCCTGTGGTTGTCTTTTCAGATTGAGAAAGTGCGTTTGTCTCAGACATCTGTGCAGTGCCTATTTCAGAATATCTCCAAGAATGTATTGAGTAAAACACAGATACTAATGTGAGATACACATAAGGTGGTGTAAAAATATAGCCTATTATATTAATGATAACTCAGAACTACATCTGGTAAAACTCCCTTGAGTCTAAAAACACAGTGCCGAGTGAATAGTTAAAAAGAAACTTTGCTTCCTTACCAAAGTTGCTTGAACAATAATTGCTTTCCAGAGTCCCACTCCTTTTACACTTTTGCTGACACAGGGCAACTGTAGGTTTTGCAACTTTTTGAAGAGAAGAAGTAAATTGAAATTGAAATGAGGTATTTGGTACAAGTGCAAAGCAGTATGTTTATAAAAAAAAGAGAAGAAAGATGAATAATCCTGATGTATGAACACCATACATGAACACCACAGTAACAATATTCCTTTTCTCTGCCATCACCTCCAATGATCATCTTTTCAGGTGTCTCAGCTGTGTCTGTTCTAGTGACCTGATAGAATGGGGTGTTACAGAAAACTTACATGTGATCACAGTGGGATCTTAAATATGTAACCAAGTGCTGTTGCCACACAGCCCTAGTAGTACACTTGAAATATCATAATATGGTATTACAGTAATGCTTCCGAGGGAGGGGGTGGCTTTTATTGGAAATTACTGTACTGTGATGGAAGGGATCAGAGTTCAAATTCCTGACTTTTTTTTTTTTTCAGAATTTTTTACATAGCTTCTTGACGTGCAGTACTGCATGGTTTTTATTCATAACATTTTGAAACAATGTTTGAAGTATGTATTTAACATTAGGGATTGACATTTCTTTTCTGAAATGGAGTGCTTTGTTTATAAACAACTGAATACACTTTGTATCTTTCTCCTACTTGGGTGGGTGTTAATGGTCTCTGTACTTTACTCAGCTGACCCTTTCTACATAACATGTTGGGATGCAGTACTTTCAGGCTTTTATGTCCTTTTCAAATTTTTTTGGAATTGGTCACTGTCATCGTAATTATTGGATGGAGGTGAGAGAGATTTAAAAAATATATTTATAGCATTTATTTCTTCAAGTACTAATATTTTTATATAAGATAGAGACTGAAGCAATTCTTTAAAGTGCCTACTTAAGTTTAATATTTTATTCATGCCTGGAGTTCTGTGCAAGTTTGAACAGAGCTGATTTGCAAGATAATAAGTCTATCTGAGACACTTCTGATGCAAATGAAAGCTCAGAAATCTAACTAAACTGTAGAGGTTTGGTTTGCTTTGGTTTGTTTTTAAGATCAGAAATGCCTACATCATGCATAACTGATCAGACAGTGAAAGGACTTCTTGCTTCTGTCTGCCTGATAAGTGCTTCTGAAACATTCCCTCTGTTGTCCTCTCTCAGAAGAGTCTGCATGTTTTTATTTTCTAACGCTGATGCTGTCATAAAAATTGATTTGGAGTTAATTGGTAAAGCTCACCTCTGTTCCCTTCACCCACGAGCAGCTCACAGGGCGAAATGATGGCAAACCCTGAACACGGCGTGAGGGAGAACTGACAGCCTGGGTTACTTGAGACCAGGTATTTGAACTAACAACTGCATTAAAAAGTGCTTTATAGTGAAGAAGAGCTGAATTATTCATTGTCAGAGCAGCAGTCACATCAGAATGAGTTATAGGTCATTATGATTTCATTTTTATCATGTTTATTTTCATCTATTTTAAATACCTTTCGTTAGCACTATTTAAACGCCGCAGCTTCTTGGTTTCCTACTGTCCTGACTTTTGATGCATTTTAAGTACAAATCAGGTTATGTCTTGCAAAAACATCATAAATAATTTGGGTTTCTGCTATAACTGTTTCTTGAGTCTCTCACATTCAGGTTATAGAAATTCTAAGAATTTATCCCTTCAATATCTCAGTAATGAGCTAGTTTTGGCAATACCTTCAAAAAAACCCTCCTCTGATCTTTCATATATGCTGTCTAGTCTAAAATATAAAAGGAAACTTATTTTTAGTGTGACATATTTCTTTATAAGTTCCAATCCCAGAATTTTGTAAAATAAAAATAATTCTAGGAGAGTGTCACATTGACAGGGTGTTGGAAGAATATGAAGAGGGCTCAGGTGGCTTCCATACCAATTTTGCTTGATGTTAATAACTATATGAAGAAAAATACATTGAGATTTTTACAAATGAACTTCTATAGAAGAAAGAGTTCCTTTAAATAAAACTATTTCTTGAAATAGTTAGAACTTCTTATACAGAAGAAATTTGCTCATCCATTCTTCTATGGCATTTGCTAGTTAACTGTCCCAAATTTAGAAGAGACAGGAAGATTCTCTCAGGTGGAATGAGTTACTGTTACACTTAACTCTTGCCTGGATGGATTTCCTTTTAAAATGTTAAGTAGATTTTCCCATGAGTATGTTAAGGTACTCTATTGAGTCTATTAATTTTAATTAATTCCCTCAACATTTGAAATATTAACAAACCATGAAACTTTAATTTTTAATATACTTTCTGTTACATAGTTCTGTAACCCTCTCCTTGTCCTGGAATAATTAATTTTTCTAAGAAATTCTATAAAGCCAGTAAAACTTACTTGAGGTAGCAGGGACTGTTGTGGTCGTAGGTGGAACTGTAGTTGTGGGTAACTTTTTTGGTCTAAATTTATAATGACCAATAAAACCATCAGCTGTTAAGCTTAAATCAGACAAAAACTGAATGAGCAACTCATTTTTCTCAGACAGAATAGGCCTGAAATAGAAAAACAAAATAAAATATTTCCATTATTTTGGATGTCAAAGCAAAGCCAAAAAGCATTAATAGCATTCTTTAAGAAAAAAGAGAGTGCTTCTCTTTAATTACTGGTCTGAATGCAGTGGCTGCCTCCAAACTAATACTGAAAAGTATGTAGTTCTTTGCAGGTGTGTCACACACTGGTGTTTTGAGGATGAAACTCATTTTGATGAATCACCTAAAACTCTGATTCCTGAAGGTTATGCCAAGACGAGTATCCTTAAATTCTTCTGTGTGAATTTATTGCAGACCTCACTTACATGGAGTGGAAGGGGCCAGACTAACACAGTGGGGAAATACACTGAAGAAATCCTCAGTACATAGGGGAGGTAAGCAAATGGGGTTTTTAAAATTTGTTGTTGTTAATGAAAAACATGTTACACATTTGGAAGGATGTAAGAAAATTATTTCAATTTTGGGTTCTGTAACTCTTCAACAAAACCACCAAAAATAAAATGTTTTGTGTTGTTATTTCTGTGGGCTCACTTCTTGTCAATTATTGGATATTCATGACCAAGGCCTTGAAGAACTAATGGAGTTACTTTCTTAAGATCTGAAATGTCATGGACAAGTACTGCTCAGTGTATTAACTTTCAATTCACAACTGCACAGTACCTTTTGTGACACTATAACTGCCTCTGGGTGTGGAGGTAGTGCAATAGGACTTCACTCAAGACTAGTGTATGGGAAAATGATAAGGAATGCAAGTCTAGCCAAAGCAGCACTTCTCTTGTTCTTTTGAGCTTTCCACAGACCTTGTGTCAATATGCATTAATAATTAGTAACACAAATTTTTCAAGCACAACCAGTTTTTGGAAAGAGAAGGAAAAATAAATATAGAGGCAAAAGAATCTTGGTGAGGAGAGAAAAAAATAGCTAGTGATTTTAAGTTGTAGTTTTACTAAAATGACTTGTGTTGTTTCTTCCCAGCAAGTCTGAGTTCATGAGGAGGACTTATTCAAAACACTTAATCGGGCCTTTGAAGTAAAATGTTGTCATCATCTCCCATTTTTCTGGCAGATTTTCCCAAATCAGTTTACTCTGATGGCCAAGTGACACAAACAATAAGTGCCTGGCTATCTGGAATTCTCTGGATTTCCAGCTGCCATGGTAGTTGCACAGATCACTCTTTTCTCACTGCAGCGTTGGCACGGGCTGGGGACGTAGGAGGGCACTGATTATCAGCTGCCCAGGAGCTTTGTTCTGCTTCCTGAACACCAGGACTACAAGGCCAAATCTGAAAAATCTGACCCAGTCTGTGTATCCTGTCTTTTTAAAAAGTGGCTGAGAGAGAAATAAGTCAGATAAAGTGAGTAAGGAGCCAAGGAGCCAGAGGGCTCAGCTGGATCCTCGTACTTCAGTATCTATAATCAAAACATATATTAAGTGATGTTAATGTTCAGCTATCATTAGTGTTCGTACTATAGCAATATGAATAGCATTAGGATTAGCACTGGTGTTATTAGACAGTGGTCTAATGAGGCCTGTGGGACAGGAGAGAATATGGGTTGGAGCCAGGGCTAGTCACGGAGAGAGAAAAGAGAAAACCTAGAGAGAGAGAAGATACTAAGCAACTCCTAGAAGTTCAACTGGAGGCAGAAAATGTCATGGTTAATTTAAAAAATAATAAAAATCTTTCAGAAGCCTAGTACAAAACTGTAACCACAGTTACAAATAGTAAGTGTAGTACTATGCTATGACACATAGTGGTGGTGAAATTCATAATTCAAGGGTTACTCACGCTGGGGGACTGTCTCCGCAGTACTTCCCAATTCTTTTGGCATCGTTGATCTCTCCACCATTAAACACTGCTACATAGTCATATCTGCAGTAGTTGTCTCTCTCCACATCAAACTTCTCGAACTTTAACTCTATTAGCTACAAGGAAAATGTAAATAACTCATTTATTGGTGCTTCTTGTAGTAAGTGACATCTTCATGTGAAGTAGTATTTGATTTTTCTTTCCAGAAGGGAAAGTCCTTAATGCACTTAATTGTAAAGTATTTTGATCCACATGACCTCTCCAACAAATAGTTCAACACATGGCTCTACTATTCTGTAAAACATTTTCTTCTCAAATGTATGCAAGTAACTTCTGATAAAGTTATTTTTATGAGTGAATGATAACAGGATAGTAGGTGGTAGGTGTTACGTTGCTTTTAAAATAACTGTACAAGTATAAACCACAGAAAAGGGGTGTAATTTCATCATTCAAGATATGCTAAAGAAAAAGCAAAGGGAAAGTTGGTAGAGCCATTTCACTGACTTCATTAACAGCAGGGTTTGAATCACTGGTTGCCAATGCTATGTGCATTCAGTGCAGAATTAAAAAAGTTAGAAATTAAAATATTGATAGAAATAAAATTAACAAATATTAAGACTAAAACCATGAGAAAGTAAGTAGTTAGAAGAATTGTGTTTCCATGTCAGATTTCCATAAATGTTGAGGCTTTACAAGTCATAAACGAGAACTAGTGTAACTCTGGTATTTGCAGTGCTGATGCTATTATCTCCAATGACTTGTATGTATTGAATTTTTTACTTAAGGAAGAAAAACGATGGACAAGGAAACAGAAATTGAATCTACTACTCTGAAATGAAGGCCTGCAGAATGACTCTGTCAGTCATGTGTAGCAAGGAAGGGAAACACAACCTAACTGCTCCATGGAAACAGAGGTAATATATGTATTTAGGTTGCTTCTTTATATGAAGCACAACAGTATTTAAAACATCTTCCCATAAATAGCACAAATGAGGCTTGAATGACAACACTGAATTGTGTTGATTGTAGATATGCAGGATTTCTTTTTAAAGGTCTGTCTCAAACAAAGATGGTATTAAAATTTCTAAGACTGTACAAATAAAAACAAGTAATTTGTACGTGGCATACACTTGATTTGATTTAATAACATAGTAAAAATTATCTTGTTCTATATCCATTGTAATGGTAGCCTGTTATCACCTAATGTCTTAGTTTTGCCTGAATATGCTTTTGCACTATTCAGATGTTTAAGGCATAATTTTCTTTCCCATGAAGTATGAGTAGCCATGGGGACTTGGTTTCAGAGATGAGTAACAGACTTGTTTTGAAACCCTCAGCATCATGATGAAAAAAATGCCCTTTAAATGGAAGTACCCATATGAATAATATTCTGGTGATTAAAAAAGATGGTATAGAAAGAAGCAATGCAACTGGGAATGGAAATGCTAAATTCTTCCATAGCAGGCAAAACAGCATAATATCTAATTCACTATTGTTCATAAGTGCACTTTGCACTAGTAACTATTTCATGATAGAATAGAAGCTTTTCATGATCAGGAGAAGCTCCTTCATCTTCTGTAATATATAAATTATTGGTTTGTGTTTGAAGAAACAAGACAACCTTGTTTTATTGCTCATGAGCTTATGAAATGGAAATAGAGACAACAACACCTAAACTTCGGCAAAAGGAAGACTGAGGAGCTTTTTATGTGCACTTGAAGAGAGATGCTTATTCACTACTTCCTCAAAAATTGCTTTTGTCACTGTCAAAATTCTGCCTTATTTGCATGCAAACAACCACTGTTGCAGTACATGACTAATATATATTTGGAAACAGGTAGATTTACGGAACAGGATCATCAAAAGACACGGGATATAATGCCTATATTTTTACGCTTATATAGCCTTTCTTAAATCTTCTCTATGAGCTTAGAAGTTCTTAGGCTTATCTAGAGACATTTGGAAAGAACCAAAGTAATCTGCAGTTTACAGATAAAGTTTTAAAAATAACTGCCTATCTATAGGATTGTTACATGACCTGTATCTAGCAAACAAGGAATGTGGATTAAAGAGGAGTACAGGAAAGACTAAGCTGACATGCTGCTTCAGTTCAAGGGAGAAACTATCTTGAGAAATGGAAAAGTATGAAAGATCAGAAGAATATATTTATCTGGGGCAGCTTTTTTTATTTTGAGGATTACAGTCATGAGCGGAAGATGAAGAGGAAAGTCATCCTTACATGTAAATGAATTTTAAAAGCTGGCTGTGGCAAGAAAAGCCACCTACCAAACATGCTTGGCAACCAAAACATTCATTGTAGACCTCCTGCCAAGGTACAGATCAGATGGCTCAGCAGCAACCAGAAAATGTGGACTGAGATTAGCCCTACAGCATAGGGAACACGCTTGTGTTTGCCATGTGTAGCACACGAGCCCTCTCTGTCTGCTGTCACATCTTTTCACATCTTAATGAAGTGGTAACATATGCTCTCATGGCATCTGGCTAATCAAGCATGTTATGAGATGGAGCCTTCAACATAGGAAATAAAACAAACTTTATGAAACGTACATTGAAAATCTCTGTCCAGGACACAGCCAAATGTATTCCCTGTGGTGTAAGCAGAATAACACAATTTCTGCTTTTAGTAAATTCAATCAGCTCTGCCTGGGTACCTCAATAACAAACTGCAGCAACGCCAGAAATGCTCAAACATTGTTAGACTTAAACGTAGCATTGGTCATCATCATGTTTGGTGCTGAGATGATCACCTGCCCTAACTTAATTTGCATAATGCTTTGTGAATTAACAAAATAATCTTTAAAAAAAACCCTGGCGTGAAAGCCTCACCAGTCACAGATGCTTTAACAGTCTTGATTTAGGGGAGTGTATCAGTGCAGGGCAGAGGATGTTCAGTGCTGAGGGAGCACGGGAGTTACTGGAGTGAGACAGGCAAGGATCTCTGGAGCGTAGCTGAGCCTGTGCTCGCTGCACGGACCCGCCCTGAGGCTGCAGCCAGATGCCATTTCATGGCTGGGGCAGCGCAGGCAGCGTGTCCCTGAGCTGGCTGCTGCTGATGGGAGTCCTTGCAGGCCATGGAAGCTGAGCCTTACCTGGTTCTTGGGGGCGACGATGTGCCAGGAGCAGGTCACTCCCGCTGGGTAGTCTCGCTCCGGCCAGTTGGGCGTTTGGAAGGACCCCGACGGCTTCTCCAGTCGTCCCCCACAGTACTGGTCCCCTGCAACACACACACCGAGCTGAGCAGAGCCCAACGGGGGAGCCACAGCCCGGGTAACACCCTTGTGCTGCTGCAGGGCTTGGGGGAGACAGGGTGGTTCTTGCTGCTTCTGCCATGGCCCCACCATAGGACATGGCTGAGCCCTTCAGCTCAGCTGGTGGCACCTCTGGGAAAACATAATCAAGGGCACCAAAAAGAGTATCCAGTACCACAGAACCAGCATTTCTGCAAACACTGGGGCTGGAGGAAGAGAAACCTCAGGTACATCCCTGCAGCCCATGGGGCAGCTGTGCCAGGGCTGACAGGCCTTCCCAAAGGAACTGCAGCCTGGGGAGTGTTCTTGATGGAGAGGGGTCTTTTTCTTCCATATCTCCTCTCCCCAGTCCCAAATTAGAAAGCTACCTCAGGTATGTAATTCTTATTTACAATATTGTTATGAACCTCCTTTATTAAATTAACTACATCAGGTCACAGTTGTTTAATATATCTTCAAAGAAGTTATCAATACAGAGCTTCAACTGGAAGACCTGATCACTTGCTCATCACCTGCACTGAGTCTGTCCAACAACCTGTCCAGTCTGGAATCATGCACTAGCAAAAACCTTGAAAAAGGTCACTCAGCAGGGCGGTACTACCTCCCTGTAACCTGCCAGCCTCTCACAGGTCATACTCTTCCCAAGTATGAGGTAATGCCTTTATGTTTAATAATATCTGACAAATCTTTTTTTGATATGTTTTTCTAAGTGTTTTTAATCCAGTGTAGAAAAGGACAATCCACAATGTTCCCTGGCACAGCACTCCACCACTTCAAAGCTCACTGAGAAAAATCACTTTCTCCTCTCCTCTGTAGCCACTTGCTCATCTGGTTTTAATATTGGAAGAGACAGGGACTGTGGTCCCCATTCACTTTCTCTGTACCATTTATGACTTTAGAGCCCTCTCCTACACTCCCTTCTTTTTTCCTTCTCTTTTCCAGCATGAAGAAGTTCGTGCTGTGCAGTTGATCTTTGTGTAGATGAGGTTCTTTAACTCTATCATACTTGTTGTCTCTTATTGCTTCTGATAGTTTTACTATATTCTCTTCTGAGATGGGAGCATCAGAATGGCACACATTATTCAAGACATAGATGCATTACAGATTTATAGTGGCATAATTTTCTGTTACTGTTTGGTCTTCGTTCTCTTTTCTAAAAATTTTTAAGTTTCTGTTTCTTTTTTTTTTGATACCTATTAAGCACTGGATTGATGCTCAACTATTGTTTTCATAAATTACCTATTTTAAACCTAACATCTCATTCCTAAGAAGCAATAGTCAATTCAGAACCTGTTGTACTGTACACACAGTTAGGATGTTTTCCCCTTATTTGCAACATTTATCTATATTGAATTTCATCTGCCATTTTATCACAGAATCACAGAATATGCTGAATTAGAAGGCACCCACAAGGATCATCAAGTCCAGCTCTTAACCCTGCACAGGACCATCCCCAAGAGTCTCACCATGTGTCTGAGAGTATCATCCAAACACTCCCTGAGCTCTGTCAGCCTTGGTGCTGTGACCCCTTCCCTGGGGAGCCTGTTCAGTGCCCAACCACCCTCTGGGTGAAGAACCTCTTTCTAATATCCAACCTAAACCTCCCCTGACACAACTTCAGGCCATTCCCTCAGGTCCTGTCACTGGTCACCACAGAGAAGAGATCAGTGCCTGCCCCTCCTCTTCCCCTCACAAGGATGTTGTAACTGCAGTGAGGTGTCCCCTCAGTTACTGATGAGCTATTACCATTTTACTACTAGGCCCAGTTCTTCCACTACTCCTACAATAGTCAGTCCTTCTCTTCACTACTTTGATTAACTAAGATGGGTAAACAGCTATACTTTGCTATTTGCTAAGCAAGATAACGAATGAATATGTTGAACAGCACAATCCCTAATATCTCTGCCATCGCATCTCGTTAAGCATTAATGTGGCTCTCCATAGAGCTGCACAGTTATATAGCATGTATATAATAGTTAATTACCTCTTTCATGTGGTTCTGCTGCAGAAAACTTCGCAATGAATCCACTTCCAGCAGTATTGGCATCTGAAGTCATCTGCACCAACATTTTATTGCTGTTGGATACGAGGGCACCTGGTTTGACAGTGCCACAGAACCTGCCGATGCGCTGTCCGTTGGCATGGCCATTGTAGATATCCACAAAATCATAGCGGCACAGGTTGTCGCTTTCCAGGTCCAAATATCGAAAAGAAAGAACCACCACTTTTCCCTCTGGGACCTGCAGAGAGACACAGAGAGAGAGAGAGAAAGAGAGAGGGAGGGAGAGGTGCATCTTGAGATGAGACTGACACCACATATCTATCAGATCCCACTGTTTGCCTGAGTGTTTTCATACCCTTCACTTCTTGCCAGGAAGCTCTTTTTGTCAATTATACTCCAGGCAAAGCAGTTTTTAGAGTAATTTGGACCAATCATAAATATAAAGCTCTGGCCATCTCTTGCCATTATCTTATTTCTGATCTGCAGTATCCTCTAGTCAGGCTCATGCAGTTAATTACAAACCATCACTGCCCAGTTCAGCTTGGCGTGTTTCTCTTATTTTCTGCTGAAGTATGGAATCAGCCCTGCAGCTCCCTGTCACCAAGCAAGGTGAGGATGAGATTAACATGAAAAAAAAATGGAA